TAACATGCAACTCTCTCGAAATTCACATTCCTTCCGTAACATGCTGGTTCTATCACTTCCGAGATATCCTCCTCCCTCCTCTCATGCCTTCAGACTCCCGCGGCCCTCCTTCTGTATACATTCCTTCACTTCTCCCCACTAAGACTCTGAAGTCACCTAATATCTGGCATTCTCCCGTCTTATCTCCGCCACTTCCATTCCGCATAGCGATTTTTATCACAGCTAGTACATGCATTTCATCTGTACGTACTACTTCCTAATTCTTTGTCTATATCACTACGAGATGGAACCTTTGGCATCGTATCCATGTCAGATAGCTCGCCCGTTTCGTGCTCTTCCGGGTTCATTATATTCCGATGTAAACCTGGGCCATAACTTTTCACCGCTACCCTTTCCCCATCTTAACCCTCTCGAAGATTTACGACCTATCACGCACTCCTACCCGAATGCCCTGCCGGAGCTCTCTGTCTCCTCTCTTCTTCCAATCCCCCATCACCGACTCGAACTTATTCTCTAACGTGTCAACAACTCTCATGCTCGACTGGCGTTGTTATCATCGGCACCCTTCGGAACACCCGATTATTCAACCACTGGAACTCCAGTGAAGACTACGCCACAACCTCCTCGAAGCACAGATCCATATTCTGCACAAACTATTCTCACCAATTATCATGCTCCGCGACAGGCTTCTCATGCCGCGATGATTCACCTGCATCCTGGGGCTTTCCTTCAAAATAATACCGACCAGTACCATTATTGTACCTATCTCAACCTGCCCCTTTACGCCCCCTACTCCAGCATCTATTCCCTGGCCGCGCCTAATAGTCATCATTTCACAGTAGCCCTCCGCATACTCCTGCTGTCCTCGCGATCTCTTCTCTACCTATTGTCCGTTCACATCCTTTCCGCGCACCCCCTCTGTGTCCATCAGCACAATGCTTGTAACACCTAAAGTCTGTATGCGTCGCTTTATTCCCGTACATCCCATGCTACCATTTTACGTGCCCCTGGCTAACGGGTATCCGCTTCCATACACCCCACAATATCCAACTATGGGTTGTTATCATCGGCTTAACATGTCGTACGGAATCTCTATCCCTCAAATCCACTACCTCCTTTCTGACCCGCGGTGGCTGGCATGAGTTCTGCGCGCGGGTATCCATCGCTATCCCTTACTACATTCCTCGTCCAGACGACGAGACAACTTCGTTCCTGCCCGTGCTGATCTCACCTCGCTTCCCCGTAAGATATCATCCGTCTCCATTTAGGCTTATATGATTATATTTTAAGCTAATGTGCTACTAATTTATTTTTTCCATATATTTTTGGTGTATATCACCTTATATACATGTTAATAAGTTCCTTAATATCTATGTATTTATGTATTTATTTTATTAAATTATAATATAAATTATTTTTAATATTATTTAAATTATTAAATTGATGGTGAAGTTAATTTATTAAAATTCATTTTACATGGTATCGTTTTTTTTACTATTTTTAAATTTATAGGTTACGGATAAATTTATTGTTAAAATTTTATATAAAATAATGTTACTAAGTAAAATGCACATATGGGATTTTACTTTATTGGTTAATTACATATTTTTGGCATACGATATTGTTGAAAATAGCTTCAGCCGTTATAATACTATTATTTGCACTTCTACTTATATATTCTGCGTTGCATTGATTCAATGTCTAATTAATGTTTATATTGTCTATAGTTGGGAATTCTTATGTTGTAAAGTTAATAATGGACTTATTCGGTACATTAGGAATATTTGCCCACATAATATTATGCAATACTATATTTCATTGTATTATAACATAATTTTAAAATTACATTTATAAATGTATAATTTATGATAATTATCCGGCATGATACTTGTATTTTCTATTTGATAGCATGAGACATATTTAATTAAAATATATGCAATGATCCGTGGTAATTGAACTTTCTAGTTTTTTTCTATTTTAATATTTGAAAATTTTGTAATTAAATGTCTGAATTAATAACTTGAGTGTATCTGGTAGAAATTTGTTAAAAAAGAAAGTCATAACAAACTATTTTACTCAATTATATTGATTTATTTTTTTATTATTTTTTTTTCCTTGTTTTGTAATTGAAAAAAAAAAGAGTTTTTTTTAGAGACAAGAGATAAAATAATAAAAAATTAAAAAAATTAAAAAGAGAGATAAATTAAATGCATGTTTATGTTGTTGCAGACTTTCTTGCTAAGAGCGTTACTGCTGGGTCAGTGGGTGTGGACTGGTTAGACAATCCTCCGCCTGATGTGAAGTTGCTTTTGGATGCTGATTGTGTGGTGCGGGTTGGCCCCGTGTGGTCATTTAATTAAAAAAAAACTAATTAGAATAAATACACTTGATTGTAACTTTTTTAATAATTTAAATATACAATTATCAAAACAGAAAAAATTAAAAATTTTAGACAAAACTCATAATTAATGCGAGTATTTGTTATTATTAAACTATTCTGTTCTATTATTAAACTATTTTGTTCTTATCTTAAAGGAAATAAAAAACTACTCGGCCATATCCCCACACTCATTAATATATATTATATATTAATAATATATTGATATATATATTAATGAGTTTCTCATTAATCCTATTAATGAGTTTCTTTTAGTGACATTGTCTATCACATGGGTAAAATGTTCCTCTTATTCGATTTTCATTCTCAATTGGATACGTTTTATTTTATCGCTTAAAGTTGAGATCTGCTTATTTTGTGTCACGATCCGTCTCCGTGGGCCGGACCGGCACTAGGGCCCAAGTAAGCTTAAAGCCCTCGAGGCCCGTAGTAAGCCTGTATAAATTAAAAAAAATATGTGTATATACTAACAATCGCACAATTTTTGGCCCAATCTCAGATATATCGAATAATACATACTTTGGGCCTAATTATAATACATCTTTGGTTCTCATAAATTATTCTACCAACTTAATACATGACTAGTGGTATATCATTCCTACAACTGCGGAGTTCGGTAACATCTAGAAGTGGTGAAATCCTTATATATAACAGTACATTAATTACTTAACCACAAAAATTTAAAAATTTTACATTTTATAGCCCTGCGAAGAAAATTGCATAGCCTTAGCCAAATCGAAGGAAATTCCTAATTCCTGAAAACAATCAAACAAGTCATATGAGTTTTCTAAGGAGTAATAATTTTTGCACCACACACGCAGTCACACAAATGTGTAAACATATTAATCTTGTCGCCCGACTAGTTTTATGCTCACGCAGCCAGTCACACAAATGGCAAATCACCGGCACTCACAATCATTAACATCTTCATATAATCACATCACGTTCTTTTATCCTTTTTCAATCACGTTGCGACTTAATTTAGTCGAGGAGTGGCTGGTCACGCAAACCTCGATTGTAGCTCGTCCTCGCCCTATGGGCTTTATCCTGCATCTTCATCATGTTTCGCATCGGGAGGCGACTTCCCATTATGGTTATGCTTAAGTCCTTTCCGTATCGATCCTTCTCTAATCCTTCATCTTTGCATTAGCTATCCTGCCTCTTCATTTGTTTTTCATATATATATATATATCTTTTTTCATACGCAGGGCTGGAGTCAAACACCGCGGTGTCGTCCATCAAATCTAGATCATCAGGCGGTTCAACAAGGAGGCCACCCTGCGGCGCTGCGATCAAATTAGGATTATCAGGCTGCGGCCAATAAAGAGCCAACCTGTGCTTAATGAGTACGCTCGTGGTACACGAAGGCTGCACATGGGGGGCGCGATCGCCCATTTACATGGCCGGCCGACGGGTCCAGTTTCATAATTCATCATAATCAGGATCCATGCTTTTTCGTACCGTCCTCACAAACCGCAATTGGTGGATGCCCCTTGCATCCCTGTCCACCACAAGCCAAGCACTATTGCGCAGTATATGACACAACACAGGTTAATCTCAATACCCGCCTGTCAAAGTGCCAGCACATATTGATCCCAATAGGATTCTTGTAAATCGCATGTGCCACATTAAACAATTCGAACCTTGCAAGAATGTAATATACATTATTGTTTGTGACTACAGCATAAACAACATAATATATAAATATACAGGGATTAATAAAAATAAGATGAAAATAAAATAAGTTAATATGTAAATATAGAATGATAATTAAAGGAATAATCAAATAATCAGGCACGAATTTATTACTGTACCAATTTGACTAATCTAATATCTTTTAATCTATTGTTATTACTTAAATTTAATTACAAATTTCTATACAAATTTCCCGGGCAGCACCTCCCCTAAAATTGGACTGTTTCTACCTGCGTTAAACATACCATTTAACTTTATATTAGCATTAATCAATCACAACAGCCATCGCATCGGGCGATCAACTAAATCAACTACCGCCTCTCAAATAGCAATATTACATTCCTCACACAGCCCATCCATCGGGCGATCAACTAATCACATACCCGTCCTCCTCAAATAGCAATATTACATTCCACAATTAATTCTTACTTAATATTCTTTAATTGATTTCTTCACACAATTTATTTAGATATGCTTCATGAGTCAAATAGAAACTATGTACATATCTTCCTTTCTCCAAATTATTGCAAAAGACATCGAATTTCCGAGGTTTAATTTAAATGTTCTTAGATTGAACTTCCCTTTAAATAAAGATATACCCAATAAATCCATATCATCCTAAGCAAATCAAACACAACCATTCTTGTCGTCAGTTAGCCCAAAACTCATAAGAGCTAACCTCGCAACAACCGCCATTACATAGAAATTCTAAATTCCAGCTTAAACTCATTTACTAGCAAATTCATTTTTTAAAAAAAACAAAGAATTCATTTTAATATACCATTTCTAATCTCATCGTTATCAAACTCATCAAGATGAACAATATAGTTGCTGCCTTTAAGTTTCCCCACCAAAATTCATGTTTTACATGATAATCGTTTATCCAACATATTTTTTGTGTATACCCCATTCCTTTCTAAAAAAACACTGGAATCATATAAATATAAGTTATTGCCTGCATAGTTACGAGGAACCCCTTGATTTCCCTTTGAAAAATTTGTTACTTTTAAGCAAATTATCTACCTTTTCTATAACAGAATTCACCGCTATATATCCAATTTAGATGTAAAGATAAAATTTCCCCATAAGGTTTAGATTTATGGGAAGTATTAAATTACCCTTCCTGAACCACGCTTCCCCCTACTCTATGTCGTCATCGTCAAAGCCCATACCTCGCTGCACGCAAGGCGGAACCTATCCAAGATCCGCGCAGATAGCCGGACTCAATGACAGGCCGCAGTATTGATACTGCATTAGCGATGCATAAATAATTAAGTTAGTTGCTGCCATAGTTAAGAGAACCTTGATTTCTTTGCAAACATTTGTAGTTTAAGCAAATAATCTACCTATTTCTATACAAGAATTCACGTTATATATCAATTAGATGGTAAAGATCAAAATTTCCCATCAAGAGTTTAGCATATAGTATACATTACCTTCATTACTTACCTAAATCTCAAGCTAATGGCTAAATAGCTACTGCCAATATAAAGAATCTTTAATTCTTCACAAAAATTTATAATACAAGCAAAAATCTAACCGTTTCTATATAGGATTTAGTTTATATACCTATTGAAAGAGCACAAATTGAAATTCCTAATCATATTGATATAAATAGTAGCTGAATATTTAAATTTCTACGATAGCTCAATTATATACCTCAAATCCTTCAACTAAGATCAAAGAACTCATGAATTAAATTTAAGGTCATAATATAGCTTACCCAGTCGCAACATACGCCGGAAATCGAAATTTTCCAGTTAGAACGATCGGTAGCTACTGCCGCCGCTAAATTTAAAGAAGACAGAAGAGGCAGTGGTCGGAAAGGAACCGGGGACGAGGTGGGAGGTCTACCTTGGCTGGTCCTTGGCTGGGCTCGCCGGAAAATGCAAAAAAAAAGGGTAACAAGACTTTCCTGATCGCAACCACAGTCGCAGCTTCTCCTGATCGTTGCGCCAGCCGGAACAGGAAGGAAGAGAGAGAAATTAAGGGACACAGCCAGAGAAGGGAGCTAAAGCCGACCGATCGAGCTGGAGTCACGGGAAAATCGAAGGAGAGGCTGGAGATGCGATTTCCCGATCGGGAACAGAATCGCAGCTCCTAGCTACTATTGCACCGGTCGGAAAAGTGATGATGGAGAGGAGAGCACGGTGAGGAGGCAACGGCGACAGGAGTGGTGGCGGAGGCGCTGGTCTTCGGTGGTCGGAAAAATGAAAAGGAGAAAGGGGGAGGGGTGAGGTCGGCGCCCTCCAGAAGAGGAGAAGAAAAAAAAAGAAAAAAAAAAGAAAAAGAAAAAAAAAAAAAAAAATTTTTTTGTTATCGGCCGCCCTCAGAAAGAGGAGAGGAAAAAAAAAAAAAAAAAAAAAAAAGGAAAAAAAAAAAAAAAGAAATAAGAAAAAAAAAAAAAAAAAGATCGAGAGGCGTTTTAGAGGTTCAGGCCATTCGCGGTTCGAGTTTCGAACCCGGTTCTGGTCCCAAACTCAATAGTGTTCTTTGACACCGATTTAACTGTTCTTCGATTGAAAATTCCTGACAATAAACCTTCGATTCGAACCGGTTTGGTCCAAATCAATAGTTTGACCCGATTTAACTGTTCTCGATTGAAATTCCGACAATATACTTGGCTTGGGCCCAACTCGCAAAAATTTTGGACTCAAGTTAAGATTATTTGGTGTTTATAGCCCGAATAGTTGAAAATCAAAATTTTTGATTTAATAAAAATTCAAATGTTTCGAAAATAAAAATTCAGGGTGTTTCATTTTGATATCAACAAATAGTCAACAAATAATTTTTAATTCATTTTTAATAATTATGATATTTTAAAATATTATCATGATGAATTATTTTATATGTAATTTGTTTTTGACACTATTTTATATAATTAAGAGATTGCCCTTATATGTATATATGATATATGGCTCCAAAAACATTTAACATATGCCTGTTGCAATAAGAAAATTGTGAAAACTATATTCGATCAAAACGTTGAACGCTACTTAACAAATTATTTGGTAACATAATGTTTGAAATAGGTTTTAAAGGTTAAAGTAGTGTTTAGTGAAAAGTTAACTCATATAATATTTAGCTTTAAGCGTTTTATAAAAAGCTGCTCAAATAATTAACTGCTAAATGGTACTAAAACAGCTAATAGCTATTCAAATAACTAATTTTGTCTAATAAACCCGAAATGTATGCAAAGTGCATCGTCAATAAATACTTGATAATTTCAAGAAGAATTACTCAGATGGTTTAATTTAGACTGTGATCAATCGTAAATTATATATTTATTTTTTTGGTATATTAATTATTTTTTAGATTCTTTGTTAATTACATATTTAGTTGTGTTATTTGACACATAATGTTAAATAAAGTAAATTATAAATGGAATGATAGAAAAAAAAAAAAAAGAAAATTTGATATATAACTAGTTGGACATCGTGGTAGTGATTAGGATAGAATGTAATTTTTTTATTTATGGACATCATATTCTATTAAACTCATGAAAAACCCATAATATATTGTAGCATTTCCATGTTTTAATAAATATGATCTGGAAAATTACCTAAATTCAAATTAAAATTAATCCACCTAAGGCTGATCATATTTCGGTAAAATATTCGATTTAATTAATTTTTAATATATTTTTTTCGATTTAAATGCCCTAAAAAAATTAAATTTTATTTTGACAAGGTTTAGTTTTCATTAAATTCAAAAAAAAAAAAAAATTCAAATTCATTTAAAAGAAAAAAAAAAAACAGAATTGAACTAGTCGAATTGAATGGATTCAATTCAATTTTATATATTCTTGGATTTTTTATTTTATAAAATATATATCTATTCAATTCACATTGTTTTGATTTGATTTAAATCAAACCAAAAAGAATACTTACTCTTAGGCCCATCTGATCCGATTTATTGTCACGTCCAGCACAATTAATATGCTCTGAGTCCAAGTTCCAAGGTTCTGCCGGTGGTCACTGAGCAATTTGTAATGTTTATATAGCTAAACATAAAGCTAAGGAAGCCAAAGTTTCATTTCTTGTGAAAAATTACATTTTAATTCCTTAAGAACAAAAAATTATATTTCACTCTCCTAAAATTTTTTTTTTAAAAAATTCTGTACACCTTCTAAATTCATTTTTAATTATGTCGCTTAAAATGATTGACGTGCTTATTTGTTTATTCTGTTATCGGCATTCATATTATTATTATCAATATTATTAAAATCAGACCAAAAACCGAACCAGCATCATTATTAGGTCGTGGTTGGATCAGATTGACTTGGGTCAACTTCGTTGAACCTTTATTTTGACTTTTCTATATAATTTTTTATTTTGAGTTTATAATTATTTGGCAATACTAAAATAGTATATTGGCTTATACTTCTATACCACAATTCATAAAAGTTTAAAATAAAAAAAAAAGATATTTTTATTTTTATTTTTATTTTAATGATTATTATTAATAAAATTAAGAAGTATATTGATGTATATTGCCGCTATATACTCTATACACAATTCAATAAAAAGTTTTAAAATAAAAAAAAAAAATTTTTTATTATGTTTTAATTTTTTATTCTAATGATTATTTATTAATTAAAATTAGAAGTATATTGATTTCCCATTCTTATAACAAATAATTAATAATTAAAGAATATAATTTAATGTTAGAATTGTATTTTTTCAATTTATTAATAAAATTAAGAAGTATATTGATTTCCATTCTTATAACAAAATAATAATAATAATAATATAATTTAATTGTAAATTATTTTTCAAATAATTATCATATATATATCAAATATAATATTCTTATTAAATTACAAAAAAAATTTCTACAATGAAGTTAAATATTTATACATAAATAAATAATCTTATAATCATTTAATCTCAATTTTAAATTTAATTTAATCTTTAATAAATGATCATCTTTAATTTAAATTTTAACATTTCTTCCTTTTAAAGTATTTTTATTTGAATATTGAAAAGTGAAAATTATTAAAATATTAAAAATTATATTTAATAAGATACAATGCATGAAACTAGGTATCTAATTATGACATATTAATTTAACATTAAAATTTCTATTATCATTTTTTAAAGTAATTACTATTTTTTATTAAATAAATAGAAAAATAAAATTAAAAAAATTAAAATAGTTTACTTTTCATAAATATTGATACAATTAATATTAGCTATATTATTAATATTTAAAAAAATTAAAAATTTATTAATAACTAAAGATAACTATTGTAAAAATGTATTGTATTTTTTGAAGCCATAAATGAGTTTATTATGTTTTTTTCAAAAAAAGAAATATTGATTTTTAAGTTTTTCTAGAAAACTTTAAAATTTGAAATTATTTGTAAAAGTCCCTAGGTAACTTTATACATATGCATGTGATTGTAAAATTATTTGAAATTATTTTTCATTTTTTTTACCCAACTAATCAATAAATTTCATGTATCTTCTCTTATAATATGAAAATCATTGAAATTTGATATTTTTGATAATTCATGTACATACATATTATTGTTAAAATAGTATATATGCATTTATAATATACAGTTATCCATCAAATACAAATTATTAAATGTTGATAATAGTTTTTTCAAGCAAATTAAAAATTAATATTTCAAACTTATATAAAGCTTTACTAATACAATTTTCGAACAATAATTTTTATTTTTATTACTTCAATCAATAAAAGAATAATATTTGACATCTTATTTAAACACAACATAATAATATCTATATGAATTTAAATTTTTTTTTGTCTAGATTGACTCAAATTAAAATTTCAAAGATAAAAGAAATTAATAAAAATTAAATTTTATTTTCATTTATATAAATTGTTCATTCTCATTTGAGAAATATTATATATCTAATAGATTCACGTTAAAAGATTTTTTTTTTTTTCTTTTGTGTACATTCATACTAAAAAACTTTAATTGAGATACTAAATTGATAAAATATTTATTTTTACTCAAAATAATTTGATTAAATATTTAATTTTTATCAAAAATAATAAATCAGTTATAGAATTATAATGAATGATATTTTTAAGCTAATAGATGCATACTAATTTTAAATTCTTTTCTATATATATTTTAGATGGTGTGGATTCTCACTTAATAATTATACATGTTAAATAAAATAAGTTCCTTAAACATAGTATTTCATGTATTATGTTTCAAAATATGATATAAATTATTTTTTAATTTATGAAATCATAAATGGTATATGAAGTTTTAATTTCATTAATAATTATTCATTTACTTGGTATTGTATTTCTTAATATTTTTTCAATTATAATAGGTTGATCGATAAAAATGTATTGTTCCAAAAAAATTTAATAAAAAAATTTTATAATAAGAATTATTATGTCGAACTAAAGTGAAAAACACACATTAAATATGCACATAAATTGGATTTCTTATGTCAACTAAAGTAAAAACACACATAAATATGCACATAAATGGATTTCTAACTTTATTAGATTAAAATACATATTTTTTGGCAACGAATATTTTGAAAAAATAGCATTACCAAGCCGTATAAATACTATTATGACGTCTTATATAATTCCGCGTGCATGATAATGTCAATGTAATATTCATAATATTGTCTATAAGTTGAATTGTTATGTATAAAATTAATAAATGGACTTATCGTACATAATATTATGCAATACTATATTTCATTTTATTATAACATAATTTTAAAATTGCATTTATAAATGTATAATTTATGATAATTATCCAGCGCGATACTCGTATTTTCTATTTGATAACATGAGACATATTTAATTAAAATATATGCAATGATTCTTGGTAATTGAACTTTCTAGTTTTTTTCTATTTTAATATTTCAATGGAAAAACTTTATAATTAAATGTCTGAATTAATAACTTGAGTGTATCTGGTCGAAATTTGTTAAAAAAGAAAGTCATAACAAACTATTTTACTCAATTATATTGATTTATTTTTTTTATTATTCTTTTCCTTGTTTTGTAATTTAAAAAAAAAAAGAGAGTGTTTTTTAGAGACAAGAGATAAAATAATAAAAAATTAAAAATTTATTATTCTTTTCCTTGTTTTGTAATTTAAAAAAAAAAAGAGAGTGTTTTTTAGAGACAAGAGATAAAATAATAAAAAATTAAAAAAAATTAAAAAGAGAGATAAATTAAATGCATGTTTATGTTGTTGCAGACTTTCTTGCTAAGAGCGTTACTGCTGGGTCAGTGGGTGTGGACTGGTTAGACAATCCTCGCCTGAGGTAAAGTTGCTTTTGGATGCTGATGTGTGGTGCGGGTTGGCCTCGTGTGGTCATTTAATGGGTTTACAGCCCTCCTTTTAATTAAAAAAAGGAACACACTGTTGTAACTTAGAGTTAAAAACATAATAATAGAAAAATATTCCAGGTAGCACAGGCTCAAGGATGACATACACAAATTGACTGATATAAACCAACGGGCCCTTTAAATTCCAAGTAAGGCAGACAATCTATCAGAGAAGATAAGAGCAGCACGTATAACACATTTGTTTCTCCTGATTAACAAGATTCCATTGTGAAAGCACATTTGAAAGCTTATTTCCATTGAGATTAAACCATCCAGCATAAACTGAGAAGCAAAGCATATTGAAGTAAAAAGCAGGTATGACTGTAGACCTGAAGTGCTTCATCTAATTTTGTCAAGTACTCGTTTGTTGTGGTCCCACTCTGTTCAATTATAGGAAGAATGAACATATTATATTGAAGGGAAAAAATTATAATTCATTTCACTGAGAAATAACGAAGGCTTACCACTACTTCAACATTCTGATCAATATATCTCCTAGCCTCATAATCCTGTCAGAGAAATATTCACAAACCAGTCAACAGTAACAACTGTACAAGAGTAAAAAGAATTTGTTACCTGATAGGTGGAAGCCAGAAAATATGAAGAAGAGAGATTGATAGACTTGTGTAAGAAAGAAGCAGTACCCCAAGTTTGAGTCTATGCAACTTACTAATGGATATATTCCAGGGTTGTACATATCCAGAATATAAACTCGACCTTCCAGCAAAAATGTCAAAGTCATCAGTCAAATGCAAAAAGAATGTGAAAACCAAGCACTGTAAGCAAAAATAAGCAACCATACTGTCATTTGAAAAATCCATTTCGTGGCCATTTCCTTGATGAGCAACAATTAGACTAAATACACTTGATTGTAACTTTTTTAACAATTTAAATATACAATTATCAAAACAGAAAAAATTAAAAATTTTCGACAAAACTAATAATTAATGCGATTATTTGTTTTGTTGTGTTGTAATTATTCATACATTATCATCATACACGATAAAATTAAACATGTAATAACTGTGTGGACGAAAAAAGGTTCCACCATTTTTTTTATCAGCAAAAAGTATTTTTTTATTAGAATAAAATATGCAGGATGAAATTAGTTATTTAAGTAATTGTTTATTGTCCTAATAGTTGTAAATTATTTTATTAAAATATTTGACCAAATATTAAAGAGAATAATATTTGATAATACACTCCCTAAAATTTTAAACACTAATATAAACACTATCGGAGAGTGGAGCTTAATGAAGACTCAAGGAGACCAGAGGCATTCCAAGAAATTTATTTTTAAAAAAAAAAAAAATTCTTGTAAAAAATTGCATTTTGATCCTTAAAAATATTAAAAAATTATATTTAACCTCCCTACAAGTTTAAAAAATTTTGTTTATATCCCCAAAAGATTTATCATAAAAAAATTTATCTTCCCAAATCTGATTTTGTAATGAAGTTGGTTGTAAATAATTAGTTTTGTTGCATATGGTTTAGTAAGTAGACATAATAAATTTTTTCTTGGTATTTTTGACCTTTATTTACTGCAAAGTGTTTTTACTACAACAATATATATATAGATATATATATATTTATGATATACTATATAATCTATATATATATATATATTTATGACAGTTAAATTCTTGAAAAAACAGTTAACTTAATTCATTTATAGAAAAGTAATTAACTTAGTTCATTTATAGAAAAGAAAAAACAGTTAAAAATATATTAAATATTTTCTTGTACTTCAGATAAAGCAGCAATTTAACATGTATTGTAAGACGAACAATACGAAGTCTGTTGGATTAAGGTAAATTCTTGAAAATGTTAAATTTTCCTGATTCTTTAATTTTAATAAAAAATTTTATTGTTGATAAAATAAAAAATTAAACATGCATTGCAAGATCAATTTCTACATAATTATTGTCTTTTTATTCAAATTGAAAAGTACATGATGAAGGCATACATATGGCCTTACTAATTTATTTGATTTACTGGTAACACATCACTTAGAAGGTAGAAGCCAACCCATGGCACCCTTTATTTTATATTCTATATATAAAAAGAGAGAGAGATGTTGGTTTCCAATTACGGAGCATCTGGAATGTAAAATTCTGCCTTATAGGTTCCATCGTCTTGTAAAACCATACCGTTATTCTCCTCAACCCACCAATTAGGTGGTATATTGTAATTATGTTTTTCATTCAGACCATCTACAGTTTTGTTTATCAATGCAGTATCAAGAGGATAGTCTAAATTAAAACCTCCTTTACTGCCCTGTGTTCCTGCAACTCCATGCAAGTAGACGTTCAAATCATGTACTCCATGCAAGTAGACGTTCAAATCATGTGGATTAACATCACTAGTCTTTAAGAAGGGTGAGAGTGTAGTGTCAATTGGTAAGCTTTCTCCCACATGATAATAACGATGCTGAGGTATTACAATTAATTTATTTGGTGGAAGTGTAGGAACTGGGTCTTTAGCATTTTCTACCCTTAACACATGAATATCAGAAAGCTCATCAAATACCTTCTTGAATCCTTCGTTTCCTACCATAGGACTAGCGAATACAATCGCTGTCACCGGAAAACTTTTGTTTGCAGTTCCTGTTGGCTTGTTAATGCCTTTATAAACTATATCCATTGCGTTTAAGGTCGCAAGTGCCGATCCCAAGCTGTGGCCAGTTACTGTTATACTCACTTCCTCATCTTTGTATTGATCAACCAATTTGCTCACTGCATTTAGAACCTGCATGCATATATTTGTATATAGGATAAGTCTTACTTACATCATGCTTTCAGTTAAACTTTCTGATCGATTTTAAACCTCTAAATAAAGTAAGTATTAATATCGTATACAGCATAAACGAGACATCAAGATCAGAATAGTAGAAAGATACCTGGTCCCTGGCACTTTTCTTGTTGTAAATGGAGTTGTCCTTTTCTGTTGTATAGATTTGGTGAAAGCCAGAGTGGATAAGAGGATCATTGTTATTATTTGGAAACATATCTGAAGCTGGAATTGGTATAAATTCTACGTCTTCGAGCTTTTCTCCGGGCAATATGGTTCCTCTCCAAGAAACAACAATATCTCTTCTTCCAAGCTTCTTTTTTCCATCATCTGTCGCCACTGCCACATACGCACACCAAGTGGACTCATCTTCAATGACAATGCCGAACAATTGAGCCTCTAGTCTTGAATAAATGAAGTCAGTCACATTATAATCGAATTCATTGCGAGCTCTTACACCGACTTTAGTGAACAACTCATTTGGTGGAAAACGGCTAAACCCATGCAAATCTTCATACTTCTTGTTATTGTACGCATCGCCAATAGCTACGGCTCTATCGCCATAGTTAAGAATAGAACTACGAAGGTCAAAGTCTAAAGGATCTAAAAGACCCTTCCAGTTGTTCTCACCGCTCAGTTCCCTCCACCTATCTGCTATGTTACCAATCACGCTTAAACCTAGGCCTGCCATTTCTCTCCCTCCTCCTTTTTTTTTTTTTTCTTAAATCTCAAATGCTAGATAACTTGGTGAACATTGTTTCATCTTCATGCTTTATATAGACTGCCCAGTGCATGCATCAACCACAAATTGAATATAGCAGGAAGCAGATTTAACATATGCAAATCATGTACGTTATGTGTATTTATTTGTAGCTATTGTTATTATTAAATTATTCTGTCCTTATCCTATAAGACATGAAATATTAGTGTATTCTGGCAAGCTTTTTGGACTATCTTTTTGGACAGTATTTAAATAAATTAAGTTTATCGGGGATAATATTATTTAATAAATTTTTTTTTTTTTTTTTTGTAAAAAAATTTATATATGAATTTAGTTGCTTTCTATTATATTTGATTTTTTTCATTTAAATTAATTATATTTTTTCTGTTTATCAATTTAAAATTTCAATAAAAAATGTATTATACGATATTTACTATTTTTTCAAGAAATCAAATATTTATTCTTTAAATTATAAAGTTGTAATTGTTCTTAATTAAATTTGGAATTTTCTTAATAATAAATTATTGTTTTTTTTTTAGCATTAGAGGAGATAATTCAAATATAATTTTATTGTCAAGTCTATACTTAAACTTGCATAGAAATTATTGAACAAAAACAAACACACACATATCTTATAGGAAAGCAAATTTTAAAAAAATAAAAAAAATAAAAACATGTGTTCCTCTTTATTAGATTGTAATTCTCAATTATTATTGGATATGGTTTATTTTATTTTTCAAATTCGAGACTGATTTATTTTGATATCAATAAATAGTCAACAAATATCTGTTTTAATAATTATAATATTTGAAAGTTAATTTATATGATTAATTATTTTAAAATGTTTAATTTTTTTTTTTTTTTTTTTTTTTTTGATGCATTGTTATTTGACAGACAATTTTAAATAAATTTCATAATATATATAAATATGGAAATGAGAGAGAATAATGTGATTTCCTAAAATATTCTTAGTAAAATTTTATATATACTATACTTTGAAATATAGATAATTTTTTTATTACTTATAATATTTGAAATTTGATTTATTTCAAAAAATTAAATTAAAATGATTGCTACTTTAATTAATTTTTAATTAATTTAATTAGAATAAAATATATCTGAGTCTCTAAATTATATTCAAATTAACATTTAAATTTTTCTATATTTAAAAAATAATCATAACGTCCTTAATTTATACTTCAGTCTCACTAATAGGTCCTTCCCTTCAAAACTTGAGCTCTTTATCGTTCACTTATTCTCAACAATTAATTTTTGATTGTTTACTTCTTTTTTCTTTTATTTATTATGTTGAAGTGGAACTATAATCTTGTTTTATTTTCATTATGATTATTATGCATATTCAATCATATAGCTTAACTTTCATTTTATTGATTTCCACTATTTTATCTTATTTATTTATATATTTTTTATTGAAATCAACATATAATATTGAATAACATTTATTATAAATACAATAAATATACGTACATGCAAATTAATTGGGAGTAATAATAAAAATTTTAAAAAATTAAAGTGAAGATTTTTTTTTTTAAGAAAATGGATTTATCCGACTTAATCCGTATCCCACCCTGCACCGACACATAGTGGAGCAGATGATGGAGCGGTAATATATAGTGAGGAGAGTAATGTAATATCTGATCCACACTCGACGTATTGTCATATCCAACCTATATGTGTAACATATATATGTGGTTGATGTACATGTAAAATGTTATCTTGAGGTTGCTTAAATTTGCATCTAAACTTAAATGTTATCTTGCACATGAAAAGGTTAATGCTCTTGGACCACATGAAAAGGTTAATGCTCTTGGACCACATGAAAAGGTTAATGCTCTTGGACCACATGAAAAGATTTGGCCGTTAGTTATCTTGAATTAAAATAGATTAACACATGGAAAAGCATTTACGAAGAATAGTCAGACATAAGAATAATTTTATGAATTTTTTTATTTATATTCAATAAATGATTTCATACATCAAGTCAATTAAAAAAATATATAATCATTTGAATCAAAATATTATTTATTATATATTTAGTAAATAAGTAGGCTTATATACTAGATATGGATAAATCTTTCCTTAGTTTTTTATTCAAAAAATAGGAGACTACTAGTGATAACAAAAAAAGAAAAAAATTAATAGTGGTTTAAAAGAAAAAATCATGTAATACCCCTCTCTCTCTCTCTCCCCCATATATGTATGTATTATATACATAACATATGAAAATCATTTTATTGATGTTATTGTTTTGTTTTTTACATTTTTTTTGGGTGAAATGCATAGATTTTGCATCTAAATTTAGAAAAAAGTTTTAGTAGTATTTTTAACTTTTATTTTGATTCGTTGAACATTTCAATTTATAAAATTACACATATTAAACACTTTAGATTATAAGAATAATAATATTTTTGAAATTTAAATTTAAAAAAATTTCTTTTGATGTCTGAATGGGAAAAAAAAAAAAAGATAAATTGAGTGTATGAAATTTTTTAGAAAAATCAATTAAATGTTCCATGCCAATGTGGTATATGGAAAAGCTCCTTATGCAAATGTGGAACCATAGGTTTGACATTCTTCTCAAGGATTTGGACCTTTTTACAGCAAATTGAAGCATTATCTAATGCACAGGATATTACTGGCCAAGAAACTGAATAGTTGCAAGCAAAAGTGAGCTTGAAAACAAGGTAGGAGGATGAAGTCATCCGATCAGTTGGACATTCGATCTGATCCTATTCAAATGAAATAGATAAAATCTTATCTATTCAGTGGTAGATTGATATTGATGCTAAAATAAAATTCGATGCAGATATGGATATGCCATAATTCGATCTAAATCCAATTTGTAAAAAGTAATTTTGCCCTTTTGTTATATTTTTAAACTTTTGATTGTAATTCTGTATGTACAATTGCCTTTTTCTTCTATTCCTTCTTTATTTTTCATTTACATTTTACATCGTTATCTCCAACTTTTTTACTTTTTTCATTTTTTTTTTAATCTCTGCATCAAATAAAAGAATGAGTTCAACATTTCATTTTTTTACAATTGTTAAAGTTTTTCTAGTTGTCATAGTATCCAATTTTTTTATTATTGTTAAGAATTTTGTATTTTCAAGCATAAATAATAATATGCATTTTTATTAAATTATTAGTTTTTTTTTAACATAATTAAAAAAAGGATCGTATCCAATCTGACATTCGATCTGATTCGAATTTGAGCGGAGCACATATGGACATAAATATGTAAAAATCTTCATGAATCAAATATGGATTTTACATAATCCAATCTGAATTCGATCAATGATCGTCGCTAAACATAGGTGCTCAAAATACTATAATAAGTATATAAATCAAAAATAAGAGAAATCTACGCGCTTTTAGAAAATAAAAATAAAAATAAATAAAAAAACATAAAATTACTTCTTAATATGATTTAACCTTTTGGGAAGCCTAATTGTTTCTTGATATGGCATTCCATATGAATGTCAGCCCAACTATTATTACTCCGAAGGGGATTTTGAAATTTCATAGTTGCGCGTGAACGCTTTCACAAGAGATAGATGCAATCTACTATGTCAACTATAAACTCATTTTCAACTAAATTTCTTATCTCCAACTTGCTTTTAACTGGGTTTCTTATCTCTAACTAAATGAGAATCTTGAAAAAATTAATAGAAAATAAGTTTTATAAAAATAAAAAAAGCAAACTACTTGTGTTACTTTGTCTGATATGACTATCTCATTGAACGGGTCTATAGCTGACATGGTAGACCAGTTTAAGAAATTCTCCTTTCACAAACACCCAAACAACTTCTGGTTAATCACATTTAGAGGAGTTTGCTATAAAGAAAAGGAAAAGATCATCCACAGAGAATAAATGTAAGATCAATAGTGCACCGTGATAAGGCTCTTCAAGGTATGGCGAAAGAATAAAAAGGTACAGCGAAAGAAGACAGCCCTGCATAGATGTCATTCAAGGATCACTGACCCTAATTGCCTTCCCCCTTAAAGAATTAAGTATTAGATACAAGCAACATATATCATAACCATAACTACTGCCTTGTAAGAGTATATTGCATAATGAAATTAGTCTAATGTCTGACATTGCTTAAGGGGATTGTTTTTTTGGATTAGAACTGAGTGTTTCAAAACTGGTAGTATGAAGCCAAATCCAGCAACCCAAACAGAGCCCACGGGTTGCACAATTCATCAAGTCATAAATTGATATGTATAATTACCATAACCACAAGACACCTGACCTATTATGCACTTTGTTTCATTTTTTATCCCTCAGTAAAGAATCTGTTGATAGATCGAGTAAATATAACGTGAAGCAATACTGTTCCAATTAGAACTTTGTGTTTCCCAAAATGCACACAAACAAAATTTTCAAAGGGAGATGTATTAGGAGTGTTTTAGTAATTTAACACAAAACATTTGCCAACACAACTAGTGTCTTTAAATCAGCAAGGACAAAATGCATAACTCAGACTACAACATCGATCTTGTACACATAAGTAGTAGTAGCATAACTTGATTTATGAATGATTTCCAAAATAGAACCAAGTAAAATGAGACATCACCTCCACACTAAGCAAAATTTGACAAAAAGAGTCCAAACTAATGTCTAATATCATGGGGAAAGAAAAAGAAAAGTCCAAATTGGAGAGGGCTCAAACATTGTAAAAAGGAAAGAGAAATATAATTGCTCATTGATCACCAGGGAGGCTCTTGATGATATCCGAATCACCTGCACAACAGAGACATTCACTCAAATGTCAGTGGATCAAATACTAACACAATGTTCAAAACACAATTGATATGATATTTTACCTGGATCAATAATGCTCAGGCAAGAAACACGGAAATACTTCCCACAAGCGGTTCCCAAGTCAACATTGTCTGGAAAAACACATTATCAGTTTCAAATTTATGAACACTGAACAAAATATAAAGCTATCCATGCATGTGCAAGTCTTGGGCTCAGCGGCCATTTTTGAAGCTCCAATAACCAGTTAAACAAATTCAGGTTCTAAGCAACATATATTAGATGACAACATACATCGATAAGATACAAAAACAAGGACCCTTCCAATCCCCTATACCTTCAAAAAGAAGGTATGACGCAGTTCTGCTCGATTTGACTTTACAAACTGTATACAGGTTTCTTTTGTGGATGTTTCATTCTATATTTCCTTGCTAAAGGTTCAAAAATTCAACTTAAGTTTTTGACATTAAACTTTATTTTCAAATACCAAATACCCAATAAAGACCCCTGCAGGATATACCTAACAAATGTGTGGAAAGAAATCTGAACAAACCATATTAAGTAAATCCAACTCGTATACAATCGCAAACTTACATATAAAACAACACAAGGATAATATAACATACAATTCTGTAAAGTGACTGATATCTTTGACAAAAAACTAATGAAGCTAACTGATACAAAATCACCCTCGCACACTCCAAATTATCAGAAACTAGAAAGTATGCAATTAAATCTAAAATGGTACGCAAATAATGTCTGAGAGGCTATCATTATCAGAAGTCAATGAGGTGAAGGGCATGCATCTCACAAGTACAACCCTCATTCTCATATGCAAACACAAACGTTATTCTCAGTCTCTGCTATCAAATAAATAGCAAAATGAAACAAAAAAAAATATATATGTAGACCTTCAAGATTCAACAAAAGAAATAAAGTGAGCACTTACTTCCATTATAATGATGTACTCCAACCTTAGAAAGCATGGCATAGTACTCGATCTCAGATTTTCTCAGTGGAGGGCAATTGTTTGAAATAATTATAAGCTTGCCTACCAAAAATTAATCCCAAATATTAAAATAAAGTAAACAAAACGAAAAAAGAAAATGAAAAAAAAGATAAACAATTAACAAAAAAACTCACCTTTGGACGATCTGAGAGAGCGAAGCACAGTTTTGTAACCGAGAGTGTACCTTCCACTCTTCATAACAAGAGCTAATCTGTTATTGATGCTCTCATGGGTCTTCTTCTGTAATATCACCAAAAATAATATAAATCACAAATCTAAATTAGAATTTAAGAAGAGATGGATATGAAATGATGGAAATGGGAAAAAAGAAGAGAAGGACGTACAGTTTTCTTGCCAGAAACCATTTTTCCGGAAAAATGCTTGGCTGATTAGAGTTCTCTATGCAAGAGTGGTGGCGCCGTAACCCTACAATTCTTCGCTGCTCCTGCTCCTGCTGCTGCTGCTGCTCCTGCTCCCAAGCGGGTAGGGTTTGGGAACAAATCTCCCTCGGATAAATATTAGGGTTTGAGTTGGTGGACCGTGTATGTGTCAACATTGAAATAGCAGTCAAGCCCAATCCATTTTGAGGTTGCCCCAACCTGAGGCGGGTCGGGTTGGGCTGTACCTGTACTTTTGATTTTTATCGCTAGAACCAAAGTCTCATTGACTTTGGTGATATGCCAATGCCCACAATTTTTTTGATCTAGGAATTATCCCTTGAATGAGTAAATATTTAATAATTCAATAAATGAACAATTGTCAAACTTATTTTTACCTTTTAGTCCTGTTTATTAAGTAGTAATTCCTTTTAGTTATTTAAATTTTATTAATGGTTTTTATATAAGCTTAACTTAGCATTAAAAAGATTCCCAACTTAATAAAAACTTGAATTTATATTCTCCATTACTTGATTTCCGTTGAACAAATCTTAAATTAAACAAGACATAATTACTATATATTCTCTGATTTTCTCAAATATACTACTATCTCTGTTCCATAAATAGTGTGAAATTATGAATACTGCAATTTTTACTAGTGTCTTTCATTAAACTATATACAGTAATTGTCTTTAGAATTATTTTTGACATTTCATAGTCACTTATTGGATTGGATTTTGTAGTCTAATAGACATGCAATGCAGAGACTAAATACTGTAATTTTAAAAACTCCAATAGTGTAATTTTAAAAACTGAAGTTTTTACTATTGTATTTGAACAAACCTAGGGACTACATAGTAAATACCCGTTTAACAAAGTCAACCATCAAAGATCAAATTAGTTGCACCCTAAATATTAACTTGTGATTCCAAGAATTACATAATTTCTAAAATTTCTCCGTTAGTTAAAATTTTTGCCCCTCTATTTAATTATCCCAATTCAATTAAACAGATTTTTCATATTTTATGCACACTTAAGAGTTTGAATCCATGACCTTTCCTCATAACAAATCAAACACTTAAAGCCTCACAAAATCCCGAGTTAAAAAATAGCAAAAACACGCTTCACCAGTACCTCATGACTTTCATTATACATGGCATATTAGCACTGACGTTTATGAAGCAAATATCAGAGTTTCAAACCATATAATGGCATGCATTAGTTATTAATTTCAAATTTTCAACAGATCGGAACAGACGCATAAAAGATTATCATCAGAAGTCAGATTCCACCATTTTAGTTTGTTCTGAAGTTAAAATTCCTCTGAAAAGGTAAAACAAGATGACCACAAGTAGATAGAATTCTTTTCAACAGCAAAACATGATATGACCGTACGATAGGTGGATCCGCTTGAATACAGAGCTCTCAATTCAAATGTTTCCTAGCACTAATAAAAACTTAAAGCATTAACAAAAGGCAGCCTCCAGAAAACCCAAATCCAACAGCGAACCACATCCCTCTGCTTGGCCAGGGCATTTCCTTCTACAAGCAACACCTGCAGACCTGCAAAGACGCAATTATGTGATACTATCTAACCATTTATCTAAGATACTGACCATCCCATAAGAAATTCCTAAGAGCAGCCACGGAGGTAAATAGTAGCTTGATCCCTACTGGTTGGCATTTTTTCCCCGTTCCGCAAGTTTTGCTGCAACTTGTTCTTCTGACAACGGAAGATAGTAGATCCGGGGAGTTGCTTTGGTTTTCCGAAAGAGATCATCTAGAGTAACAATTGGAGGGTCATGTTTCTCTGGAATTAGTGGAGGTGGCGGTGGCAGATGGGCAACACGCTCCTTGGCCAGAGGCGGGTTGGATAGAGGTGGTGGAGGTGGAAGGGGAGGTGGGGGTGGAAGTTGCTGCCTAGAAACCTGCTGACGGGGAGAGGGCTGAGGCTGCGAGAGTGGAGCTGCAGTAGCACTTGGAGTCACTGGTGTAGCCGGAGAATGAGGAGGAGCCTCCACTTTCAGTTTCACTTCATGGGGATCAACAAACTCAGCCACTAAAAGACGCCCGCCATTTGGAGGCCACTGTAAGTTATACACTGCATTCCGTGTCTCCACAGCTTCTTCTACAGATGAGTACTGCATCAACAAAGAGTTCCCCCACATAACAGGTGAGATATAACTAATACAAAGATTCAAAAAGCACACGCATGACAAGACCATGAAATGCACCTTCCCAGCCAGATGAAAAAAGATCTCTCCACATTTAGATGCATTGCAATAGTGTGTGTGCCTGTGTTTAGAGAGAGAAAGAAAGGCTTACACTTATATAGCAATGGGTTTTGATGTGATCCATCCAGAAACTGGTTATGGTCCCAGTCTTGCCTAGAAATTCTTGGACAGCTTTCAGGGTAAAAGGACGTACAAAGCGATCAATTCTTAGAGAATTTGTTGGAGGTCTTTGAGATGGTGGAACTGGCAACAGTAAAACACAATGCAAATGTTTATTCTAACCGATCACAGATAAACCTGTACATAACAAGTTTACAAAGAACCATGACTCACCAACACGTTCCTTTGGTGCATCCTCATTGCTAACAGAGGAGTCAGAGCGAGAAAAGTTGCGTCTTGAAAGAGCAGGTTGAAATGCATCCTTAGGGGTAGTGGATGGTGCTGGATTAGAGCTTTGTGGTTCAGGTACTTTTAGGCTTTCAGAATTCCATCTGCGTTGCCTCTTTACAGGCTCTGTACTTCCAACAGCATTTTGATCTGCAATGGAACCCATTAAACCAGATGAACAAGAGAAAATGGTCATCATACAGAACCAGACATCCATTTAAATTTTCATAGTAAAATTATCAAAATGCTTCAAGAAAAAAAAGAAGGGTACTAATCAAAATAAAACGAATATGTAGTACAAGCAAAACAGATCAGATTAAAATTCTCAAAGTTGACTGAGACAGAGCTACTTTGCAGTAAGACAACGATTACCATTGTTCTAAACAGTACACCCACAATAGCCAAATTGCAAGTAATTATGCTGTCAAATTATACACAATTATTCGTCCATATAGTTATTGAAACAGATGAATATTCTAATAATAATTCAAATCATTAGTGAAAAGTGGTAGCATAATATTTAAAAGACCTCCATGTCATGTCTGTATCTAGAAATGAAAGAGTCAACTTTAGGATTTAGCAGACACTAGCTAATGCAAATTGCAAGTAATCATGCTGTTCAAAAGTATGCACTTATCATCCATATTGTAATGGAAACACAAATTCTCTAATAATAATTCAAAATCATTAGTGAAAAGTAGTAGCATAGTATTTAAAACGCCTCTAAGTCATGTCTGCATCTAAACAAAAGAACCAACATGAAAGAGTCAACTTTAGGAATTTAAAAAACACTAGCTAATGCAAAAGGTACTTCTATCATGTAGCATTGTTTGTCTCAATAGAAGCTTGTCCCTCATTGTGCAAGGGCACGTCATATTCGACCTTAGAGTCTCTGCAACTTATTACAACTTTTGAAACAAAGGTAACTGTACTCAATCAGATGCCAGAGCTTAAAAGCACACCCAAACTTAGACCTTTTCCTATTGACTTCTTCCCAAATTGAGCACTTCAACTCTGTCAAATCAATTATGCTGAACTTAAAACATAAAATGAACCTGAACAATTTCACTCTGAAGTGTTGTGGACAAAACATAAATAACATGAATAAACATTAAAGCCAATTTTCAGGTACCTCAGGCATAAACAAGAAATTTCTTTTTTAAGGCACAATTCAGTCAGTCAGTAAGTAGGTGAATAACACGCCAGGTGTAAACATTTTTCTTATTACACTCAGTTGAAATTTGGTCACAGACTCTCGAAGGAAGAAAAACGGAAAAATATTTGGTTCAAAAACTAGATAAACCATGTTTTCCTCATTGATATGGTGAGCTTGATTCTTGTCCTCAAATACAGTAGAGGTCTAAATCATCTCCCTTATAAACCAATCATGATAAGTGCAAGTATAAAATTCATATATTTAGCTACTTCAACATTATGCACATGCAAATGTGTTTATTGCAAGTTTTCAACAGTTCCTACTACGAGATAGTACATTTTTACATAGAGGTATTACTTAATGTACTAACATTTCCCACCAGTGTTAAAGATGAAAAAGTTCTAATAACTTGAACATCTTCCTGATCATAATGACCATCGAAATGAAAGGCATGAGAAATGCATTGCAATTATCGCGTGTCAACATTGTGATGAAAAAAAATATTATAATAGTGAAGCCATGTAAAAACAACATTGGTAAAAGCAGAGAAAGTATTGTAAAAGATATTTGCTGAATAAGGTTATTAGGAAGTTAGGGAGTTCAGAATGCAAAAATTACCATTAAGCTTTCTTTTCTCAGCAGGCACAGGAGGATGAACTTTATTCTCAACACGCATTTCCTTATTATCAATAGACGGCTTGTTCCCTACAACATCAACAAGATTTTCCTCCTTCACAACATGCATTTCACTTTTCTCACTTTTGTCTCCCACATCATCAGAGTTATACTTTGAATCAATTTGCTTACTCTCCACAACATCTTCCTCCATAGAGTCATCACCAGAACTTCTGTCTAAATTTAACTTTTCCGAGTACCCCACATCAACAATATCATTTTTCTTGCTCATATCTGCATTTGTAGCATTGCTGTCATCTTTCTCTTCAACTGTCTTCTTCTCTTGTGGCTCCTCAACATCCATTGGATGTGATTCACCACCAACTGGCACAACACTATTGGATGATGGTTCCACCATCTCTGGCTTAACAATATCTAGTTCTAATTGGACATTATCAGTAATTATGTTATCCTTTAGTTCAATCTTTTCATTAATTGACACAGAATCAGTAGAAATAGAATCAGATTTTACTTGAAACCCTAAATTAGGGCTGACCTCAGATACCTGGTTGTTCGGAGTAGAAGAGTCAAGCGTGACATCCTCGTGTGGAGGCTTCAACCCCTCATTCTCCAGCTGGGACTTTGAATCCTCATTCTCCAGCTGGGGCTTTGAATCCTCATTGTCCAGCTGAAGCTTGGAATTCTCCAGCTGAGTCTTGCATTCCTCACCTTCCAGCTGAGGCTTAGAATCCTGATTTTCAAGCTGGAACTTGGAATTCACATTCAGTTCAGGCGCTTGAGGATTTTGTGCATCTGAAGCACCAATTGTTACTCCAGATGCCACACTCTCGGAAACTGTAGTGCTGACCTCCAGAGCAACAGCAGGAATAGTGATCTCCCCTTCATCCCTAGAAGAAATTGTATCAGTTCTTGTGACACATTCCGCAAGTTCTTGGTCCCTGGCTTCTGCACCATCATTGATATCAACCTGAACCTTAACATCACCCACGCTCTCAATTTTCGCAGCAACAACATTCATATCAACTTTAGCAATTTCAGTAACAATTGGCACTGCCTCAGAAACTTTTGTACCATCCACAGGTTGCTCATCCGAAATAGTTTCAGTGTCCAAGTCCTCATTATTTTCCCTCTCAATGCGAAGTGCTTCATCTAAACGTCTAATCAGATCATCCTTCAAACCTTTTGTTGTCAATTTCCGCCTCCTAAGCTCTTCTTTTAGTTCAGTAACCTTCCACTGATCTATTGGGCGATTGTCTAGAATTGGATATTTTGATGACATCTTTTCCAATTAATATCACTACCACAATCCTTAACAAAACATAAAATTCAATTTGTAATCCTTGAAATCTCGCAGTGAAACAACAATGGTACAAGAGAAACCCTATAAATAAAAAAGGCATGTTAAAAAGACAATAGCAGAAAAAGAATAACAGCATTCATACAAATTAACGAACCAGCAGCTTTAGGACCAATTTAACTTAGCAGGAAATTTTTATACTAACAAAAAAATTGAATGTGAATCATATTGTATTACAATACCAAATGACCAACAAAGACATATTATACAGAATCCTCTACTTAATTCAACAAGAAATCACAAAATCAAATTACCCAAGGACCAGAGAGAGAGAGAGAGAGAGAGAGAGAAACAAAAGAATAATGGTTTACATGAAAATCGGGATCCCATCCAAAATTGCATACAGAATCTAACTTCTGATGAATCAAAACACTAACAGTGTTCTACTAACCAATTTACACATAATTTATCCTTCCGAATCTAACAATATCATTCAAGCCAGTCAACATATTTCTCCTCGCTCAACTTGAGAAGTAAGAATTGAAGGAAAAATAAACAAAAAAAACTTTTATGCAACATCATAAATGTCATTGCATGAAAAGCTATTTAAAAGATGACATGCAAAAGAAAAATTACAATAAAAATTAAGCGATAACTCACAGGAATATTGTCAGGCAGCCGGAAAGCACCAAAAGGCTGAAAACAGAATGGGATATATGTGAAACCCTAATTTCACAACACAAAACCCACCATTAGACATATAGAAAGAAAAGCGCCAAAAAAGCAGAGCAGCCCACAATGAAGAAACGCCAAACAAATTTTTTAAAAAAAAAAGACCCAATAATCTTCCACTCAAAGCGAGTCTGCTTCCTGAAAACAAAACGAACAAAAGAAACTAAAGCTAAGAACACATTAAAAAATACAAATGTACAAGAGAGGAAAAAGCCCGAGATACGAAAATGAAACAAAAACCAGCTTTCGTTGGATTTGATTTTTCTTATCTTTTTCGGAATTTTGATTGAGAGAGGAAAATGGAAATGTAAATTTAGGGTTTTGGATGTTCAATGATTTTTTTGGTTTGTGCGTTATCGAAAAACAAAATGGAGTAGAAGGCTCTTGGTCTTCAAATACTGGTTATATTTGTGGAATACCGAATATACCCTGAGGGGGACTACGTGGAGTTTCGTTTCAACAAGCCTGTTGTCAGAATGCGTACAGAACCGGGAAATACATTTTTCATGTTTAGATATTTTTCATGGATTATAATTATTATGATTATTATTATTAAAAGAAATAAGGTTTAATTTCATTTCAAAAAAAAAAAAAAGGTTTAATTTGTCCCGCATAAATTCACCCAAAAGTCAATGTTTTATATGTAACCCTAACTAGTAGATGAGTAAAAATGCCGAAAATAAAAAGTAAAAAATAAAAAAAAATTTAGCATTTTTAACTAATGCTACTAGTATATAAATTATTATTTAATTAAAAATAAAAATATTAAAGTTGTTCTTTTTAGTTATTTAATGTAAAGTTTAAGAAAAAAATTGATTTTTAAGTAAATTATAAATCACATCCAACTTGAAGAGATAAGTAACAACGTTGTTTGGAGTGGAAAAGGGTCCGACCCTTAAGCAATAGGTTGAGTGAAAACTCTTTGTGGGAAGCTGTTGGGCTAATGACACAAACCAACAAAAATTAATAAAACTGACAAATAGAAAATAATCAATTTTATGATTTTTCTTTAGCTATAATAATATTTTTTATTTAAAAACGTTAAATAAAAAATATATTTTAATAATAGTTCTTTTTAAATATATCTATCTATACTTGTACTAACTATATATAAACGTGAGAATAATGAGATTTTTGATATTGCTCTCATTGAAATTTCGAATATCTTAAAATAGTTTTAATCATTGCCAATTTGAAAATTACATTTTATATCAACGAGTGTTTAGATGAGTGGTTAGACGCTCTTCTCTTTTAAGTGAGGTTGAAAGTTCAATCCTAATGAATGAAGTAAATACTCGCTTGGAGCACTTTATTCCTTCTTGAGTTTAGTTCTTGCCCAGTGGGCTCGAGATAATGTTTCTTTTATGTAATATTTTTTATTAATTAATTAAATTATTTATTTATTTATTTTAAATTTGCAACTTAGAAATATAAATAAACAAAATTAGATCCTAACATTATTTACTTTGTAATTTTCGTTTATCGATTTGGCTATATTTTTTTTTTTTTTTATCTTTCAATATCAAATTTCATTAAATTACAGTATTTTACAATTAAAGAAATGGTTGATTTTTGAAATTTAAATTGGTAATTTTTTAATATAATTTATTTCTGTTATATGTTGAGTTCGAAAAGAGCTCTATTCTTAATAACAATTTTTTATTTTTTATTTTCTTTTTTGTTACTGAATTAATTTGTAACTACCATCATTTTAATTTGGTAATAGATTTATATTTCCCTTACAATAAATAACTGACCTCTTGATGGTTAAACATTTTTAATTTTCTTAATATTTTTTCTATTATATTCTAAATCTATTTGACTTGAAATAAAATAACATTTATAAAACTGAAAAAAACTAGAACTATATATTTCTTTTTTGTGTCATATTTTGGGATTTCAAGAATTTGTATATATGTGTATATATTCCTTTCTCTAATGTACTGGGTGAGTAATACTCTCACCATAGTCAAAATAATTATCATCGTTAATTTAGATCATATGCTCATTTATTTTCTCTACCCAGTAGTAAAAAATAATTTATTATTATTATTATTTTGTTATAGTTAGATATATATATAGATATTTATTTGGGGTTGAGGGTAGGAGGTTGGAAATTGAGCGATGACTTAATTTCTTTTTTTTTTTTTTTTTGCCATTTAATTTCTTTTTTTTTAAATCCTTTTTTTTTTTTTTTTGCCACTTATTAAAGTTTTAAGAATCTATATTTATAAATTAGAGACTGAAGACTTAAGTCTATGGATTGGTTCAAATTTTATTTTGAAACCACTTTATTATTAAAAAAAAAAAGAATTAATTATAGAAGAAATAGCATTTACAAATAGCTTGTATGACAAAGTTCGATACAAATTAAGCAATTGTATTTATTTTAATCTAAATAAAAACTTATGCTTTAACAAGCATAGTCAACGTGCAAGACATGTTGTAAAAAAGACTAGCACTGTATAAATACGAGAATAAGGAGATAATAAGATTTTCAATTGCGTCATTGATGAAATTTGAATACCTTACAAAATTATATTTTATTCATTAATTTAATATAATTTATTAAAATTATTTTTAAAATTAATACATATAGATAATTAATTATTTTAAAATTTTAAGTTTTACCTTCTTTAAAATTTATTTTTAAATATATGATAACGATATATTGAAATTTTTTATATTTTATTTTATTGTAATTATAATTTAAAATATTTTATTTAGGAGCGATAAAAATGAAAAGTATATATTTTTTAATATTCTTTTTTCTTCTATGTTTGTATGATTTGATTAGATTTTTTTAAAAAAATTAAAATTTCAAATAGAATATATATAATATTTTATTTAGGAGAGAGATAAAAAGGTTTTTTTTTCAATATTCTTTTTTCTTTATGTTTTTATGATTTGAATCAATATATTTTTTTAAAAAATAAATTTTCAATTTTTAAAAAATTAAAAATTTTCAAATAGAATATTATATAATATTTTTATTTAATAGAATATATATAATATTTTATTTAGGAGAGATAAAAAAGAAAAATTTTTTTTCTACAGTTGTACGAAAATTGAGGATTTATTTGGAGAGGATAAAATATATTTTTTTATGTAATCTTTTTTTATTAATTAATTAATTTTTTTACTGAAATTAATTACCTTATTTTTGTATTTTAAATTTGCAACTTAGAACTATAGAGAAACAAAATATTTGAATAAATTCATCAACTGACCAATATTGGATGTTAACATGATTTGCTTTGTAATTTTTATTTATCGACTTAATTTTAGTTTTAGTTTTCTTTTTTAGTTTTAGTTTTAGTTTTCTTTTTTTTTTTTTTTTTTCATGAATTTTTTTTTTTTTTTTTTGTTCATCAACATGAAATTTCATTAAATTATAGAATTTCCAGTTCAGAAGGAGTTGATTTTTTAAATTTAAATTGGTAATTTTTTTTGTTCCTTGTTATATGTTGAATTTTGAAAAGATTTTTATTCTTAATAATATTTTTTTCTTTTTTATCATTGAATTAATTTTTAACTGCTATCACCTTAATTTAGTAAGAAATTTATATATTTCTTGCAATAAATAGATGATATCTCGATGATTAAGCATTTTTAATTTTTTAATATTTTTTGTCTTATATTATAAATCTTTTTGTCTGTAAAGAAAATATTGTTTATGAAACTGGAAGAAAAAGTACTATATTTTTATTTTGGATTACTTTTTGGGGTTTCAAAAATTTGTGTGTATGTCATATATATTTTTTCTAATGCATGGGTATGGAATATTGTTACTATAGTAAAATGATTACCATTATCAATTCAGATTATCTTCTCATTTATTTTCTTTTTTACCTAGTAGTAAATAATAATTATTATTATTTTTCATTATAGTTGTATATAAATATTGATTTGGAGTTGAGGACAGTTGTTGGGGATTGAGCGATGACTTTTTTTTTTTTGTGTGCCTACTAAGGTTTTAAAAATCTGAATTTATAAATTAGGAACTAAGGGAGTTGAACTTTATTTTGATACAATTTCATTATAATTAAGTACATAAAGAGATAATATTACAAATAGTTTGTACGACAAAATCTAATACAAATTAACCAATTGTATTTATTTTAATATAAATAAAAACTTACAATTTAATATTATATAGATAAAAAATAAAAATAATAAAATAATGGTATAAAACGAATATATTCAACGTGATAAAAAATACTAATAATTTTTTTTTTTAAAGATACAAAAGCCAACAACAACCATGGTGGCAACCGAGCCCCAAATACAAGTGACAGGCATTTAGCTACAATTGCAGTTTAATGGTTTCATTTGAATCCAATAATTGTTAGCTTAGGAAGTCAAGTATTTAATTCATTTCAACGCTTGCTAACTTCTAGAACGAAGGGCGCACTCATTTGCGACCAAGATTTGGATGTAGCCTTCAACAGGATGTTTTTACCTTTAAGACTACAGTAGAGAATAAGAAATTTCTGTATCTATGAAGAAACCTTCTTTTACCGTTAGATTTAAATAACATTTATATGAACCATTGGATTTAGTTAAGATAAGGATATTTACAACTTACAGATTAGGTTAACAATAAATTAATAATATTATTACTTTTTATTTGATTTTCTTATTATCATATGGAGAAATAATTTTAGAAGTTAAATAAGCATTTTCAACTTTCAAGAGTATAAATTCAAATAGTTACCGTATCTAAAAAATCGTTTATTTTTTTTCAATATTAAAAATAAGCTAACTATTAAATATAATAGTGATATTATAAGTACTAAAATTATATTATCATACTATTAGCAATTTATTTTATATGTCCTTCATGTTATTTTCTTTTAACTAACTACTTTTTCTCCTAAAAAGAACTATCTACTTTTTTAGAATTATCTTTTACTTGATTTAAAACACCATAATAAATTTTAAGAATTACAGAATATGGTTTAAATTATTTAAATAAATAATTTTTGTTAATTATTTGAATATGCATTTCATAATCAGATATTTTTTTAAATACTTTTTACTATTGGATTTGTTATTAATTGGATATTTCTAATTAACAAAGATGTAACTATTATTCAGAAAAACTAAAATGTAATTATGCTCATTAAAATTATTTCAAGATTCTAATTCATTATCAATTAAAAAAAAAATTAAGTTATACATAAAATATAATTTTTGTTACTTTAAATAAATACGATTGTTTATTATGTTTATATATTTTTAAATTTCAGAAGTTTTTCATAAGTTATACATAAAATATAATTTTTGTTACTTTAAATAAATACGATTGTTTATTATGTTTATATATTTTTAAATTTCAGAAGTTTTTCAATATTATATTTTGTCCAATATTTGTATTTTTTTTTATTAAATATGCTTTTGTTCTTAAAAAAAATAAAAGAAAATTTTATTGAATCCAGTTTCGAAATACTATGAATTGATTTGTACCATTTAAAAAAAGAAAAAGAAATTATGAGAAAAATTAAGTATATTTAAAAGCAATTTGAAAAAAAAAAATATCAATCAAGTAACCTGTTACACTGCATTTAAAAAAAAAAGGTAACCTGCTGTAGCAGGTTCATTTACCATATGTAATTGAAGAATAGAATATGTATCTATAAAGAAAAATTAATTTCTCTATTGCAGTAAAAGTCTGCCTTTTTATTGAACATATTTCAGGGAAACCTTTTTTATTTATATAATTGAATTGGATAAATTTAATTTCTTTTTCTTTTTTTTTCGATCGCACACCTTCCATTTGCTTAGCAAATTGATGAAAATTTATTAAACCCAAGGCATCACCCCTCTACACCATACCTAAGTCGCGGATGAATTTGATTTATGATCTCATCAAAGTTTATTTTTTTGCATATTTTTTATATTTATATCCAAAATTTCACTTGTGCTTTTCTTATTTATTTCTTATAAAACTGTCGTACTTGATTGAAGATTTTTCCCTTATAAATACAAATGCTAAAGTGGAGGTAGCCAATGTTCAAGAACTTAACTTTACAGTTAATTTCATTAAAATCATATAATTTTAATTTATCATTTTTCAGTAAGAAAAAAAAATTTCTCCCCACCGTTTGTATTCCATAATCTTCATCTTCTCACTCTCTTATATTTCTTTACAATCATGATTTTCTTTATAAAATATGTGATTTTCTATATCATATTTCAATTTCAATTACCAGAATTACCAGAATCCAATGAATGACGTCACGTCCCATTGAAACGGAAATTAAAATTCAGTGACTAAAAGGTAACAGATTAATGAACATTAACATAATCTACTCTCCATTCAACGTTCAAAAGATAGAAAAATCAATAATATCGTAAGAATGGCGTTCAAAGCTTTTGGAAAGGAAACTGATGATAGCATCAGCATGCAGCAAGAAAAGCAAGAAGGCACTCATCAAGATGAAGGCACAAGATACTCGCCTTCTCTTTTGATATTCTAATGCTCAACGCAAAGTAATGATTAAAATTACAATTGAGAACTCTCATTTCGTATTAAGGCCAGCAATGGATACAAGGTGCTTAATCTTTCATCTGAGAATCACAAGCATCGTCATCTTATTCAGCTTTCCATTGCAAGCACATCTAATCATATTCCAGTTCATCAGGAGTCACTGGCCGTTTGAGTGGAATAATAGACTTCTTTTCAACGTCTCGTGATAAAGCTTTCCTCATGTCTAAATATAGAGCACAGTAAATTAAGTAATTAGAGGTAATAAAAGTGTAATAAAAGGAAATAAAAAAATGTTATTCCATAGGTGTGGAAACTTGCCTAAGCCATCTTCCTCTCCCGAGTAATAGCGTAGCACTCGTCTATATATTACATAACCAAGCTGAAAAGAAAAGGAAGATTGATAAGCACCACTTTTTCCTATTATTGAAGAGTCACAAAGAAAAAAGAACACAGACCACACACGCGCGCTTATCCACAATGTCCACAATGTCCACAATGTTTGCCTCTCAAAGACATATTTTACATTTATGAACTTGTAAATTGAACGTCTACCATCCAGTTATCAGCCTGTCACTCTTCAAATGAATGCAGAATAATTTCTCATGGAAAATGCAAGAAAATCTATGCGGCTAATAAATCCTACAGTTTGCAATTGATCCAAATGGCAATACAAAAATACATTTGTCAGTGACTGGGTGAGATTACTTTCATGCCAGCTTCAGTTTCTTTTAGCAAGGAAGACTCATACATGCATCTCTTAAACTTTTTTATTTAACATTTATCAAATTCTTTTTCTTCAAAATTACAAACTCACATTAAAAAAAAAATATATATATATATATAGGCATCTCTTAAACTTTTTTTATTATAACATTTATCAAATTCTTTCTTTCAAATTACAAACTCACATTAAAAAAAAATATATATAAATATATATTATAGATTATATAATATCAAAGCCCCCAAATAAGAACTCAGGAATAAAATGCTTCAGCTGAAATTCCAAGGTTATAGGTTACTTTCACCATAAAATGGCATTATTTAAATATATATATATATATATAGACTCAGGAATAAAATGCTCACTGAATTAAGGTTATAGGTTACTTCACATAAATGGCATTTATTAAAATATATATATATATATATATATCAAAATACTACTCACAAGAAAGTGCCTATTTTTACAAATCAAAAAAGTATGATCAAGTGGCAACAGAATTGCAAATTTATCAATGCTAAAGACATATTACCTTCTCATACATCTTTATAGCTGGTGTATTTGATGCTCTAACAAACAGATCCACAAAGTATGCCTTATCACTGAAAAAAAAAATTGTTGTTACCAGAAAAATTCTTGAGCCAATACTTCAGACAGTAAGTGAAAAAGTGAAGACTGAAGAGGTAATTGAACAAATCCTTAAGCCCATCCAAATAATTCTATCCAAAAGACAGAATGTTGCTCACTGTCCCCAAATCCAAAAGCTAAACAATAATAACAGCTGAAGAAAATGTCCTAAATGTTTATTTAGCTATTTTAAACTATAGTTGTATACCAATATATGTTAATATGAAAGAAAGCAATATAGTTTGCAAATAGACACAAACTAAGCAGCATAAAATTGAAGACTGGCGCCTTTCTGACAAAAATTGTGATTCAAAGGACCTCATAAGACTGCATTTGTCTTCCTAAGAATTAAGAAACTAAAACTACAAAATAGAAAGTAATATTAAACCAACTTCCACAATTTTCTGAAGTTTTTTCCAGAAATAGATTCTACAAACTTCCAATGTCATCTAAGTCTCATCCCTTCCCTTAATTTAAGCCTAAATGTTAATTCAGCAAGACAGACATGCATATAATAAATACATATTGCACATATAATGTTGTAAATGAAGCCCTTAAAGAATCTTATCTTTCCCTAATGAGTTTTAGGCACAAAGAAACCAATATCATATTAACACGTGATAATGACCACATGATACTGTTGTGGTCAAGTAAAAACCCAAAAACCCCACTCTTAAGCCTAAATTTCATTCATTCATGCAAAGGCATTAAAACAAGACCAGAGATTCAAAGATTCTGAAGATATGGTGAAATGTACATTACAATATGAGGTAAAAGTAATACAATTATCAAAAGAAAATAGCAATATTAAGATAATATTTTACATTTTATCACTGATGTCTTCGAGGAGGTTCATGAGTTTTTTAGCTAATTGCTGCCTGCGGTATTCAGTAGCCACTGTAACTGCGGTGACATGTCCATGCCAGGACTCCCCTTGTCCTTCTACTTTACCCATAACTACAATCAACCAGACAACCCCTTCAGTCTCTCTCTCTTTTTATTTTTCCAAAAAAAAAAAAAAAACTAACAATTACACAGGATAATGAACTGAAAAGATAAGAAAGAAGGATAGCTTACTGTAACCCATGATTTTGTTACCAGGGCCTTCAGCAACATGAAAATAGTCTGGCCATCTCGCCAAATACGTCATATAGAAGGACATGTTGAACTATATAGTAAATACAATCATTAACATCATTTAATTAGCAATATAATTAACTGGAAAATTAAGAAATTGAGCTTACAGTTTCAGTGAGATGGTCAAAATTTACAGAGGAGAACCGAAGAAGATCATTGCAGCAGAATCGACGTATCGTTGTCATCTTGATATGGTTTCCTTACTCTGGATTGAGCTAATTGTGGCTAAGAACTGATCAGTAAACACACAATTGTGTGTGTGTGTGTGTGGAATATATCTTAATTAGTTTCCTTCAATTTATAAAAAAAAATTATGGTTAATAATAATTATTTTACCAAAAAACAAAATACAATATTGAAAAACTGAAAATTTAAATATATTAAGTTATTAAATATTTTTAAAAAGGAGAAAACCTTTCTCAAGAACATGAGTTTGAGAAAGCGAAACAGAATTTATTCATAAAAGATTGACAAACAAATATAGGAAGACACTTGTGTTTAATAATAGGATCAGAATGATATGACAGGACAAAATAATATACAGTTGGCAATAAGAATTTGGTGACTTTGTTTTTTTCTTTTTCAAACCATAAACCATCCACCATCAGACCATCTAAAGAAGTTGTGGCATGTTAAGCAATAACATAGTATGCTAAAAAAGTATTAAAATTCCTCCTATCACAAGTTAAAAAACTTCATTTTCAGATACGACTGGACTGACAACGTTATGAACCCTAGTCACCTGGCATTTGCTTTAATTTTTAGGTCTGAGCATAGAAGTAATAAATGAGGGAAGGGGAGGAAAGGAAAGTAAGACATTAATTTTAATTCTCTTCACTTGTGCAGAGAAAGGCAACTGAAAGTTGATAAAGGGAAATATTTACTCCTTAATTGAAAGTTTGTACAAGAAGCAAATCAGAGAAAGGAAGAAGAAGTCCTTAAATCTTAATTATCTTTGTAATTTTGGATAACGAAGTATTATCAGAATAAAACCAAAAGGAACCAAACAGAAAGTTTATCAAAGGTGCCATTACCATCAAGTTTTTATCATAAGAGTAAGATATGCCATCAGCAGCATAATATTTTAGCAAGTAGTAGCTTTATCTAAGAAGATCACTAAGGTTCCTAATGTACATAATATTGCATATTTATAAATGTAAATATGAAAACACAAGTAAGATGCATTAAGAGTATCAACAGAGAATTTTTCAGAGCAACTGAATGACAATTTTTAACATTGAAAATTAAAGGGGCAAATTTGCCCAAACAATCTAACTAAACTTCCAATCTAATTTCTCCATAAACAATTAGCTCAATATCTGATTAACAAATCCAAGTTCGCAAAAGTCATACAAAAGTCGTAAAGATACAGAGAAAACCAAAAGCCTTCATTTGTAGATGCTCAGAAATTCCAAGAAAATGTCACAAAGAATTTAAACGCTGTAAACGAATGTAACCCAATAAAAAGAGATAAAATTCGCCTGCATAAACCACTACAAGTCCTACTAAAACGGAGGAAAGAAAACGAGACACAAATCTAGAAGAAGAAGTGGCATCTTACTACCCTGAAATCAAGTCTAATCCGCCATGAAATTTTGAAATTTAAAACCTATTCCTTAAATTTCTTCGATAATAAAATAAAAAGAAAAGTAAATAACCTGAGAAGAACCAAGCACTGTAGAAACCGAGAAACAAATAAAAATTTGCAAAACCGACAAAACGACGTAAGTGTGCGTGCGGTGCTGGTCCTGCGGGAGTCGGAGGTTATACCGATAGAGAGAGTGGAGCTGTAAAGATGAGGACCGTAAGGGTGATCGATTTGAGAGAGGTGGCCTTTTTCTAACCTTTTTTTTTTTTTTTTTTTTTTTTTGAAGAAGTGGGCATCTTAACCTACCCTGAAAATATCAAAAGTCCATAGATACCCTCCATAATTAGAATTTTGAAAAATATTAAACTACACCTCGCATTCCATTAAAAATTAAGGTATCCAGTACAATAAAAGATTAAAAGAAGAAAAGTTAAAATATAAACCTGAAGATAGAACACAAGAAACTGTAGAAAAAACCTGTTGACAAACAAAAATAAAAAAATTTTGACATAAAACCGGAACAAAAACCGACGTAAGTGTGTTATTCGTCTGCTGGTTGACTAGGTCTTCGTGCTATGGTGCTGAGTTTTCTATATAATAATTGTAATTACTGTCGTTGATACCGTTTTCATGATTGTTAATGTATATTCCGAATTTATGTATAAAGAAGTGGAGCCCTGCATAAATGTTATGTAGTCACCGTACACCATGGTGATCGTACTTATTGGAAATGCGTGATTGAAGGATGCCTTTTCCTTAATTCTCTTCTTTTTTTTTTGGTTTTTTCTTTTTTTTGTTTTATCCTCGAGCTAAGTTATTTTTATAAGACCTTGGCGGATGTGTGTGAATCGTTCACGGAACATATAGAGCTCAGGTAAATAATTTTGTGATTGAGAATAAAACCCACTGTACTAGGAAAGTATGTTTTGTGTTATTCCATGTAGTGATGTTTTATCTTAATCCAGATATATCTCTTAAACACCCTGTAAAGAGATTCTCCACCTGAGGTAACTTAAGTGATATTTACTATAGGATAATTTTTGAAAAGTTTTGCGGCATTAATTTTATATGACAGCAAAGCCATGTGCAAAGCCAAAATTAGGCATGTAAGAATATTTGAGTGCATAAGATTGTTTGTTCTCTTGATTGTTTTTCCCTTTGAATGGATGGCTCTCACATAAATCCATCAGAATTATTCTCGATAGTTAATTTAAGCATTATGTGTCATGGAACAAACGACATAGAATGCACGATGTAGATTCATTTCACCAGTGAGCGTGCTTCATTTTGAGACATTTTCAAAGTTCAAAGCTTTTTTTTTTTTTTTTTTTTTTTTTACCCGCTAAATGAAACGGTGTGTATCGTCACGGAACTAAGCTCAGGTAATTTGGTTAAATAAACCCCAAGCTGAAAATTTTTTTTACCAGATATGTTTATCTTAATCCAAAACCTAACCCTAAAAGAGTTTCTGGGTATAATTACTAGTAAATTTTAAAATTGGGGCATGTGATTATAACAAAGGTCATGCAAAGCCAAAATTACAGCAATTGCATAGATTTTCCATTTTGTTTTTCCTTGAATTGACCACATTAATCCTCTATTATGGTAGTAATTACATTATGTGTCATGCAAACCAAGATGCCGATGTAGACCTAGTCATGGACCTTTTCAAGTTAAGTAGTTCATTCCCTTATTGCTTACATGCGTAAGTGGAGTTAAGCTCTAATGAGCTCAAGCTTGATTTGAACTTGCCATATCATATTGGAGCTTGACAATTTTACAGGTCCCAGGTCCAAAAGAGCCGAGCTTGACAATTATGATTAATAAGCAGCAATTCAACTTAACACCCCAAATTAGAAAAAACATCCAAATCGGCAATAATGAATAATTAATATGCTAAAAGAAATAAAACTGTATCAATTAATTTCAAACGTGCAAATTATACACTGATTATTGTTTGAAATAAATGAATTTCATATAATTCTGTAAAACTTATTTAAAAATTCAAAATTTTGTGTTTGGAATGAAAAAAAAAATTTAGATTTCAATTCTAGTAATTCAATTTTATGGAATTGAATATAACTATACCAAATTCTATAAAAGTAAAAGTCCGTTTGGAACAAATGAATTCCACAAAATTTTGTACAATTTATTTGAAAATCCAAGATGTTGTGTTTAGAATAAGAAAACATATAGATTTGAATTATGCGCATTGAATTCTAGAGAATTGGGCATGTCTAATTCAAATTCTACTAAAATTAATGAAATTTATAAATAAATTTCACAAAATTTACCATTGAAATGTCTATTGACAAAATTACTTTCCACTGTAAACTCAACTATTTGCACTTTTTTTTCCTTTTTATTTATTTTCTTTGAAAAATTCGAAACTATAACAACGTTATTTTTTTTTTTCTAAATGACGTTAGTTTATATTTTTATTTTTTTTCCTTTTTGTTGTTTTTTTTGGAAAATTTCAAACCAGTAATGGCGTTTTTTTTTTTTAAGTCTAATGAAATTATAAAAACTGAGCATCAACAATTGTTTCCAAATGCAATTAAAAACAATAGTAACATTCTTAATATTTTTTTGTTTTCAAATTAATTACTTAAATCAACAAATTTTTTTACATTAATTAAAAATAATTATTATGATGAATATTGCATTAAGATTAATTACCTGTAAATCATATCAAAAGTTTTTTTACATATAAATTTATTAAGAGTAGATTTAGATGTAATTGGGATGGAGGACACTAATTAAGCTGATGACAAATACTAAATTCTCGTTACGATATATTTATGCAAGGGAAATATTAGGTTTATTATTTGATAATAAATTTTATTATATTATGTTAGGATTATTTGAATAAAAATGGACAAGTTCTTAGATCTACTATAAGGGTAAGCATTAAAGTAGAATAAAATTGGTGTTGTGTTATATTTATTTGTGTATGTTAAATGATCTGACTTATCATTTGACCTCTTTCAGTCTTCACTTTTTTCACTACTGGTTGATGTCAGAGTATTGGGGGTGCTGTCTAAAGGAAAAGTAAAAGTTAGTTGAATATTTTGATTATTAAATTTTTTATCTTCAAATATAATGTTAAATGAGGGAATGCAGAATGTCAATCAGTTATAATTTTAAATATGTAGACATACCATTGTTCATTTGCCATACTATCGAATTTTATAACCATTATTCATTTGTTCCAAACGGTGTTGTAAGCCCAGGTTAAATTTTTATTGAGAAAACCTATCAATCTTCTGATAGCAAAATTCAGAATTTTTTATTTTTTTGCTTGATTTAGCTCGATTTTTTTAAATCCAAAACAACTTTTGTTACTTTATTAATACAAGTATTTTAAGAGAAGTTTTTTTTTATAGCATATTCTTTATGCGAGAGAAATATCTTTGCGTTTTTTGCGATTGATTTATGATTATTTAATAGTGGCTAATTATCTTTACTCTCTATTAATAGTTGATACACCTATTATGGAAAAGACATGTTTATTTTTTGTACCATGAAGAGAGAGAATTGCAAGTTGAAATTATAACAGTTTAATATTTCATCTTCTATAATTAAATGCAATCCAATTTTTTTGATTAATAATTGTAGTTTATTAATATTTTTAATAAAAATATAGAATATAGCAAATTTACTTATAGCATAATGCTATAGGAATAGTTAGCATCATATCGATTTAGCTGATTCATTATTTAATCTTCTGTGTTGTAATATTTTAGCATTTCGAAGGTTTAGTTTATTGGTATAGAAAATAAAAAAAGAGCAAAATGATAAATTGTGCAACTTTGATAGCCAATTATTTTTTTCTCATTAGTGTATAAGGTATAGATGATAATTTCAGATTGAATTTTTTATATATTGGGTATCTAGAATTAATCGATTACTAAAGGTATTAATGAAAATTCATTCACCAAATGAATTTTCAGATATTTTGATTAATTCACTGTTAACAAAACGGGAGTGCTACATGGCTTAAATATTAATAAGTACATCCAAATCTCGATCAATATTTAAATATTCCAAAAACAAATCTTAAATTTTAATATAAACAAATATAAAAAAAAATATTGATTTATGTTAAGTATGGGAATATATTAGAACAAATGTGTTATATGAATGATTAAACAAAATGTTTGTAGAAAATTCACTAATAAAAAGCCAACACATACAAAATAATATACATACGGATGAGAACTTATGCTCATATGTTATTCCTGAGGGTATAATGTTTAGGCTTAATGATATAGTGGGCCTTTATAAAATTAAACAAAAAATTCATCAACCATACAATAACTTCTATCTTTTTGTGTCATTTGTTACAGTATTAAATTTGCTAAGTTTACATAATTTTTTTTAATCTAATTTTTTATATTATTTTCTCTCATTAACTTTCCTTTGTCCTTATTTTGTTTCGTATATAATATGTGAAGAACTTTATTTTGAAGATTAAAAATGAAATTCTTACATATCATCTGTAATTATTATATTTGAAGAATACTAAATCATATTCTTGTACGTAAAAATAAATTATTAATACAAATTGATCATAAATGATAATATTAGAAACGAATAAAGATACTTAAGTGCATAACAAACAATATATATTTTGTTTTTTTAAATTGTGTATATTTTAGTAATAATTTATTTTTAATATAAAATAAATTTGTTACAAATGATCTAAAGTACTTTAATTAAAATTTATACACAAAGTTGTAAAATTATATAGTATTAATTCTTAATATAGAAATTTGATATAATATCTAGATTTATTTGATAAAAAAAAATAAAGGATAAAATTTAAAGGGTAAAAACTTATAATGAATTAAAATTTTGAAACAAAGTATTGATATTATTTATATGGATTTCAATTTAATAAAAATTAGAATATTATTAGTAAAATAGATTGAGTAAAGAATAATATAATAAGTATACAGATTTATAGATTTAAGGTCATGATAATTTATAATTGAATTTAGATTACGAAAAATCTTTATTTTGATTAGTTCGAAATGCGCAATGGAGTCTATAAAATGAGTAATAATACGATGATAGGTATAAAAAAAAATGATTATAATGAGCACTTGTCAATGTTGCATGCCAATTATTGGAATAACGAAAGTGATAAAAATGTTTTTTAATATATCCAAAAACATCAACATAAACAACCTTTATAACTATATGTTTCATCTTTGAGAAAATTATTAAAAATGATTTTTATTATTTTTTGTTTGGTATATTAGACTCACCAATTTTTGAGAAATTGTTGCAAATTGCTTGTCAATTATATAAAACAATATCTTGTTTTACGTTGTGAGAAAACTTTTAATTATTTGTATAATATGTTGGCCTGCATGATAATAGAGATGAATTTTTAATTATTTTTTAACTCTAGCAATTATATATTAGTTTCAACCATTGTTAAGTATATAATAAAACCCAGTTTTATTGCATGAACATTGTATACAATTTTATTAGCAATTTCTAACTTAGAAGTATGCTTTGTATTAGAACAGGACTCGCGATTAGTAATAAAAAAAAATGATATCATCAGGTTTGGAATTCATATAAGAAACACACCTGCTTAAAAACAACGAGTACAGTATGTTCTATCAACAATGATAAACTATGCGATGTTCGCGAAATGCAGATTTTGTTACAAGATAATTTTCACTCCAGCCTTTCACAGCAAAAGTGTCAAACTTTTCTATTATTTAGGAATAGAATTCATAGAAAAAAAAAAAAAAAAAAAAAAAGAACTAATAAGAAGAAAATATAATTGCAAATGAATTAAACGTAAACTTTAAGGTGAGACTACAACCAGATAACTTCGCACCTTCTGATTGTATTTTCAGGTCCCACTTGCTGAGTTGTAGCTGAATGGCTTGAATTAATAATATTCGAGCGAGGTAAAGATCGCTGCCGAACGATCTGCCCGTTGTGGTCGTCCCTGTGTTCTTTTTGGCTACGCTTTGTGCACGGAACCGGCGATCTGCTACTCGAGCTGATCATAAATCTACGTCGTGCTATACGCAATAAAATCAGTTGAGTTTGCTAATGTTTATTTCCTTTATATATCGAGGACCAGACAGATCCTAATACACTCCAAAAACCTAAATTTTTCCCCATTATTGTCTTCCCCTTATGCACAAATCTAGGGTTATTTGACAATATTTAATCCACGAGGCATTTGTCTCTTGTGTCAAAGATTTTATCGAACTAACTTAACAACTACTTTTCATCTGTTGAGAAATAAACATCCAGAAACGCATTAGTGTATTCTCTGACAGGGTAACCAGAATAACTTTTCATTCTGAATTTAAGAAGCATTTTACAGGGTTATTGGATCTTTGACTTGTAGTGAATTGGTTCATGAGGGGCGTGTAACGAAATTAGTAATTATTTATGAGGTCTTTTAAAATGAGTACCTAGACAGATTTTTGTGTCTTTAGTGCTAGCACAGCACTAATTAGATTCTTCATGGAAAGTTTTCTAATTTCAGGTCGAATTGTTTTGGACTTATCGTAATCTCAGTTCAACTATCCAGATGAGTGTAGTGATTCTCTGGTTACATCTTTTTACTCCCTAGGCATGTTATTTATACAAATCTCCCATATCTCATTTTATCTTTTTATACTTTCTCGTTATTGGTAGCCCCCTCTTAATTACTAACGATTTATGTGTTTTTGTTGTGATTATCTTAGTAAGTGCTGTTCTTCTTTTGATCTAGGTTGTTAGATTGAACCCAATTGTGAATGACGAAGTAATTGGTTATTCTGGACAACTAGCCTGCACGTTTGGCATACTCAGTACAACATTTGATTGATGAAAGTTGATATGAGGGGCAAGTAATCGTTGAAATGTTAGGTGGGAATAGAGAGTTGAAAAATCAAATATGTAATTGAAAAAATGGGGAGAAGAGCAAAATTAAGTTCCTTTTTCATATAAATTTTGGTTCGCTTAATCGTTTATCCCCGACTTCAAATTAGCTCATAATTCGAACGTAGTACCCACTGCTAGACGAAACTCTCTGTACGCAATCATATGGTCAATCTGTGTCTGAAGAAGGAATGGAGAATTTTCAAGCATCACCTCCCTAGAAAAGATCTCGCAAGATTTGTTCTTGGTTTGCAATGAGGTGGGCAAAAAGAAGAAAACGCCTTGAAGTCAAGAGGAGATAATCTTAACCTAAAGTTTGATTGTCTGACGGGGAACCGTGGCTCGTTAGGGTTTGCCGGGGCATTGTCTCTTCCATCGAAAAAAAAAAAAAAAAAAAAAAAAAAACTAATGAAAAAAATATAATTGATGAATTAAGTAAACGTAAGGACTAAACAGTAATTCGCCCTTCTGAATTTTCAGTCCCCTGATGGCTGAATGGCTGATACATAATTCGAGCGAGGTAAAATTCCGAAGACTCCCTTTGTCGCGGCAGCTGCCGGAACGCGATCGTCTCGCTGCTAAAGCTCTCTCTATACGCAATAAAAGATCAGTAGTTTCATTTATTTCAATGCCAACAGCCTAACACCAAACCAAATTTCCCAATTCTTCCTTCAAATCAGTTACAATATCACGTCTTTCTCTTTGTCATTTTATCGAACACTTACACTCTTTTCTTTTGAAAAATAAACTCCAGAAACAATGTTTCGAAGGTACAGAATAACTGTTTCATTCTTGAATTTAACATTACAGGTTTTGTCTTTGACTTGTATAATTTGTATTCTAGGGCTGTTCAATTTATTCTTAGTTTAATAGTATTACATTGTTGGCTTTAGTGTAGAATAATTCTTCATGGAATTTTCTTTTTTTCAGGTCGATTTTGGGACTTTCGTCTCGTCAATCAGGGAGGAGGATCCTGGTTACATCTTCTCAGGCATGTATTTAACAAACCCATTTTTATTTTTATACTCTCGTTGGCCTGATTATGTGTTTTGGATTTGAAATTGTTTCTTTGACTGTGTATGACATGTATACGAATAATTGGTTCTGCAACTCTGCACTGGCATCAGTTAAATTTGATTTATGAAAGTTGATATGAGGGGCAGTAATTCTTGAATGTTATGTGGAATAGAGTTGAAAATCAAAATAATGAATGGGGAAGCAATTAGGTTTCTTCTATATTTGGTTCGTGTCCTGATTAGCTTCATAATTCTATAATTGCAGACAATACCATCATATCTTTTTCTGAGGAAGGAATTTTCAAGCTCACCCCAGAACCCAAATGTTGGTTTGAGTGGCAAAAAACCTGAATCAAAGAGTAGCTTACCTAAATTTGTTCTGGGGACCGCTGTAGTTGCCGGTGCTGCTCTGTTCACATATCAATCAGGTTACTTAGACAAATATCTAGACAAATATTTGGGCAAAGAGCAGCAAAACTCGGGTAAGATTGGCATTGATCATAAAGATGTCAAGGAAACTCAGCATTTGGAAGAGCAAGTGCCGGTTGCCGTTAATGTAGAGCCTGGCAAATTTAGTGATGAAGTGGAGCAGAATTCACAACAGGTTGAAAGTCAGATAGATCTTCCACAAGTTGAAGCTCAACAGAAAACTGAAACTCATATAGATTTTCCTCAGGTAGAAACTAAGCAGAAGCCTGAAACTCACGGAAGTCTTCCTCATGTTCAAGCCGATGATAGGGTTGAAGCACATGCAGATGTTCATCGTCAAGAAGCCTTAAGCGAAACACAAGGTCAAAAGCATCCCTACACTGAAGAGAAATCTGCAAAAGAAGATGCTTTAATTGCTGTTCAAGAGAAACAAGAACCGGAATTTTCTCAAAGTTCCAATACCGAATATAGTGTTGTTGTGGAGAACTCAGAATCAAAATCTACTAGTGAAACAACTGAGGGAGTCCGAGCTACACAAGTACAAACTCAGCTCAGGGTGGCTCCTGAAGAGAATCAAATGAAAACAGTGCCATCTCACACTCTTGCTACAGAAGACAGATTGGAGGTATGGTATTCTGATACTAATTGCTAAAGTATTCTTTTTTGGTTCATGTTTCTTTGAAATGGTGACATCTAGGAGCCTTGATGTATTCTAAAAATTATTAGTCTACCTTCAGAAAATGAGTGATGCTTTAGATCATACCATAAAACAGAAGACACTGGCCTTAGATTTCATAATCCCTTCTGTTTTATCTGCTCAGAAAGGTTGGGTTGGACCATATCTTACATTCATTCTCCTGGATATAAATAACTAGGGAGGAAGAATGCTTTTTTTTTTTTTGTGTTCCGCCGGTTTACATTGTCAAAGACCACTTCCTTTCCTTCTAACCCAAGTGGAGAAAAGGTTTTGGAAGGAGGCCTTTTCAATAGAAAAACCAGCTAAATCAAACCCAAATTAGTATTTGTAGCCTCGATTATGATTTATGATGGAGGAAGACATCTACGAAGGAAAAATTGTGATAAACGTGTGATTCCAATTTTTTATACTTCCTCTATATCTTATTCTAAATGGGTTTATAAAAGCAAATGGTTATGGTTTTCCTCTATTGCAGGCTTCACTGGGCAAAGGGTCAGAAGTAGCTAATTTACTTGACACATACCATCTCAAGGATAGGGCTGAAGGAAGCACCATAAATGAGGCCTCAGGAGAAGAGGTCAGTATGAGCATCCTCCTTTGCCTTTTCATGCATGTTCCTATTATTATAGTATAAGCGACATCAAATTGCATAAACTTGAATACAACAAAACAAACCATAATTTATGGTTGTTTGAATTGATAGGCTCTTGTTAGTGCCATGGAGGAATTGAATGATAGTTTTATAACAAAGGATGGAAAGTTGATTATGAGTTTTCTGCAAGCAATTCATGCAGCTGAAAAGAGGCAAGCTGAGATAGATGCCCGTGCCTTTGCTGAGGAGAAAAGGGCAATGAAGGTTATACTATTTCATACCTGGAAGAAACCACTCATTTTATAATGGAAAAACTGAAGTTTTTTTTTTCTATTAATCCTTTCCATGGTATGGAAAGGATTTTGGTCTGTTTTCTTTATACTAATCCTTTCTCTGCCATTCAGGAGAAGTTTGAAAAGGAATTGAGAGATTTAAGAGCTAGGGAACTTATGTGCGCAGAAGAGGCAGCACTACTTGATAAGGTTGTAGGGATTTCTAGCTGATCATTCTTGATTTTTTTATAGTGAATAATGGCAATGACCGCTGAATTAGTGTAACTTTTCTATACATGCAAACTCGGCAACCCCTTCCCACCAATTCAATACCAGTTGTAACCTAATGTAACTTCTTCCTTTTCAGGAACTAAAAAGAGAGAAAGCAAAAGCAGCAGCTGCTATTAGAGCAGTTCAAGAAAAGATGGAAGAAAAACTCAGGATGGAACTTGAACAAAAGGTATGCAAATCTTATTGTTATATAAAAAAGAATTGCCCCTATGCCAGCACTTGGCAACTTACTTATCAAGTTTCTGTTTTATTATACTTGTAGGAAAATGAAGCAAAAATGAATTTGAAAAAGTTTCAGGACCTGGCAAAAGCAGAATTGGCTGCAGCAATTGCAAATGAGAAGGCAGCACAACTTGAAAAAATTGTTGAAGCAGATCTCCATGTAAGATATATGTTAAAGTCACATGGAAATAAGATTTCACATTGTATATGTCAATATGATTTTCTTTTTGGTACAAAATCAACTCTTAAATTATAGGATAAAGTTTTAGTAGAAATTTTCTTTTGTTTGGGTAGAGAAAATAATGAAAAGGGCTAATGCCAAAGTTCAGGTGGACCATGTGAGGTTATAGAGAGGGCGATTTTTGTAAATTCTTGCACTTGGCTTGAAAAATTTTGTTTGCCAAAAGTAAAAAAAGGCTCCAATCTCCATGGTTTTTGGTTATTAACTAGGTTTCTTGTCTTGTTGATGATATATGTACCAAATGTGTGATGGAAGTGGATGCTTCTATTTTCATCGGCACATCAAACTTCCTTGTTTCTCTTTTATAAGTATAAAAGAAAAGGTACACAAGGGCACCCAGTGAAATACCTCTCTCTTGCTGTTTGTTTCTGTGATTATTAATTTCACATTTTACTTAGATAACTACTTCAGAATATAAGGTTGTGTGGAGGGGGGGAAATATTATTCAAACTGATACTTATATGCATTTGCAATCCCCAGATTAGCTAATCGTGTCATGAGTGAAATAATTTCAATCAACCACTGGCTTTCTTTTCATACTTCAGCTAATTTATAACACCAGCAGCTCAAGGGAATTACAGAAAAACTTTTATTCAGTTTTATGTTGAATAAGCCCGTGTATTAGTTAGGTAGGCAATTATGTTCTCTTCAATGTATAAAGTAGCCGCTCACCAGCACGAATTGGTTTCTTTATAGATATATTCACTTGTATGCTTGAAAAAGTTCAATAATGCTAAATTTGTCTTATGGTTTAGAGAATTTATTCTGATAATTAATTCATATGTTGCTTTATGTTCACATGTTAATATATTTTGCTTCTCATTAGTTTTCATGCATTGATTTCTTTTGATTAATAACTAATACCATTGTTTGCGCTATCATTTAAGTTTTATAGTTTTGTTTTCTTTTGTAGATAAATGCCTTGTGTATGGCATTCTATGCACGGTCTGAAGAGGCTCGTCAAATTCATTCTGTTCACAAGCTTGCTTTGGTAATGTTCTTGTCTTTGTCATACAATTGCTACTGTTTAATATGCATGTGCACGCATGCACTTATTTTTAGTTAGGACAATATGAATTAAATGTTTGGCCTTGACAAAGTGTTTTTTTTTTTCTCTGTCTATTATGCAAATTAACATCATCCATGTGGATTGCAGGGAGCACTTGCATTAGAAGATGCACTTTCCAAAGGACTTCCAATTCAACAAGAGATTGTTGCTCTAAACACCTATCTAGAAGGCGTTGACAAGGACTCTCTTGTACACTTAGTTATATCAACCCTCCCTGAAGAAACTCGGTATCAGGGTACAGATACTTTGTTACAACTGAATCAGAAGGCAAGTTATGTGAATGTCCTATTGTTTAAGCATATTCTAAGTTTGAGGCATAGCATAGCTAAAATGGTATCCCTATCTCTCCTCTTAAAAGGAGGTTTAAACTTCAAATCCACCGTCCCAAACTTTTCAATAAATAAATAACAGCTATTCAATGTTACTACATGAGTTAATTTAATTGTAACATTTTCAGTTAGTTAGAGCACAAGATGCAGTCTTTCTGCTTAGCATGAGTTAATTTGACGGTCACCGGTAATTTTTAGTTTCCTACATGACAAGGTTAATGTGCATTATTATGATAATGTTTTTGATAGTCGATGCTCTTGTTCTAAGAATGCTATACTGTATTTAACTGTACTAAGTCAGAACGTATGAACTTTTTTTTTATTTTTTATTTATTCACTAGTCTCCTTTTTTTTCACAGTTCAATGCCTTGAAAGGCACACTGCGGCACTACATTCTGATCCCACCCGGTGGTGGTGGTGGTGGTCTGTTGGCACATGCTATGGCTCAAATTGCATCCTGGTTGAGGGTATGAAAATATGCTATTATTAATAATCTTCTAAATAGTTGCATAATTAACCCATTTACTGGAATTCCCTTCACCAGAGAACTCTTTTAACTTTCTAATTAAGTTGGGACTATAAGATATCTTTGTGTTGTCTTAAGCATTTCTTTGGATTTTGTGCAGTTTAAGGAAGTTGACCCTTCTGGTGATGGGATTGAATCTATTATTAGTAGAGTTGAGATTTTCCTAGCTGAGGGCAAGCTTGCTGAAGCTGCTGATGCTCTTCAAGAAGGAGTGAGAGGCAGCCAAGCAGAGGTGATGGCAGATGATTGGGTGAGACGGGCAAGGAATAGAGCTATTACAGAGCAAGCCCTAACTGTATTGCAGTCTTATGCTGCTTGCATCAGCCTTACTCAATGATGATATTCTAGCATATCATTAATTTTAGACTTAATATCACTATAACGGATTTAGCTTTCAATCTTGCGGTACTGTTCATTTTCGATGATTACCCACACAGGAAGAACGACAAGGAGTTTCTTGTCAATCCAGAGTTTTTGTAATGGTTTTGACACCAAAATTTGTGTAGATCGTCCACACTTACCATGAATAAAATTTTGTTTCTTCCAGATAAATTTAACCAATTCCTCTTTTTATTTGCAGATGTATTTGATTGGAAAAAGTTTATTTATGAATGAATGCATGTTTGGACTGTTCGCTAAGGCTATACTTACTACGAGTAATGGAATAGGAAATCTATATATGTAGCAAATATTTTTTCCCAAGAAGTTGACATGGAGCATTTTCTTAAATGAATGTTCTTCTCTTACTTTTGCTATATAAGATTCTTGGTGATGACACATAGGATTATAATACTACAAAGGACTCTTAAATTTTGATAGTGTCACATAGAATTTAATTATTAGTTGTAGTGTTATATGAATATTGATATTAATTATCATTTCAATTATTATAATTAATACATATTAGTAAATAATTATAATCATTATAATATTGCAACCCATCTTTCTCAGTTGAAATTATATAATATTGGTCTTAATTGTTATTCAATTATCATATTAATATGTATTAAATAATTAAAATTATTATAACATTATAACCTATTTTTTAATTGGAAATTATCATAATTTTGATGTTGATTTATCATATTAGAGTTAAATATTTTTGGGTCCCTAAATTATGACCAAATTAACACTTAGGTCCCTCAACGTTGGAGTAATTATTTTGAAGGACCTAAATAATGCTGCCATTACACTGTAAGGTCCTTCCATTCAAATTCCTACCTTTCTTCCGTTTACATGGCTGAAAAGCGAATGTTAAGTGGGGGTTAAATATTTTTAGATACCTAAATTATGACCAAATTAACACTTAGGTCCCCAATGTTTGAGTAATTATTCGCTTTTCAGCCATATAAATAGAAAAAAAAAAAAATAGAAATTTGGATGGAAGGACCTTACAGTATAACGACAACATTATTTAAGTCCTTCAAAATAATTACTCAAATGTTGAGGGATGTTAATTTGGTCATAATTTATGGACCAAAATATTTAACCCCATCATATTAATATGTGTTAAAACTCATCTTTTAAATCAATATTATTATAATATTAATATTGAATATCATTATAATCTATCATAATTATCATTTATTATTATGAATGAAAATTTTATATTTAAAAGAAGGATAGAGAAGACTAATGGTGAAAATATTTATTAATAGTTTTATTGACGATGAATATCCAAACGTTTCAGTATTCATTTTTCTTAAAATTGCAATATATAGTTATCTTTATTAGTTGAGGGATGTTAATTTGGTCATAATTGTACTGGACGGCGAAAATATTTAACCGCCATCAATATTAATAAATGTTTGTTTAAAAGCTCATCTTGTTAAAATGCAATATTATTATAATATTAATTGAATATCCTTGATAAATCTATCATTAATATCATTTATTATTATGAATGAAAAATTTTTATTTTAAAAAGAAGGATAGAAGACTAATGAGTGAAAATATTTATATGGTGAAAATATTTATTAATAGTTTTATTGACGATGAATATCCAAACGTTTCAGTATTCATTTTTCTTAAAATTGCAATATATAGTTATCTTTATTAGTTTTAATGATAATATATTGAACCGCCATTAATTGCTTATTACTAGACTATAAATAGGGAGAGCAATTTGAGGTTTAGTAAGATCCTTTTTTTTTTTTTCTTTGGTAATTTCAATCATTCTTATACAATTTCTTTTTGATATTGATATATTTTTTCTCTTCTAATTTCTATTACTCTATCAAATTAGGAAAAGTTTGATAAATTATAAAAGAAAGCGGTTTATATGAAATAATTATTAAAAATGATATATATACGTCTATGATTGAATTTTTATTATCCATTTTTATTTTATTATTTTTAATATCGTGTGAGAAAATTTATTAATTCAAAAATAAATTAAAATCAATGATTTTTAATATATACTTCCTTTTCTTTCAATTTTATTCTAAATATTAATTTTTATATAACTAGTCTAATGTTTTGATTTGAAATAGATGTTCTTTAATTTAAAAACTTTTCAACAAAATTAATAAATATGAAATTAAAAATAACTTAAATTATAAATTTTTTTCTTAATTAAATATAACTTAAAATTATTAAAATTTTTTTTTCTTATTATTCATATATTTTTAAAATGTTATCAAGTATCTAAAATTAATAAATATGAAATTAAAAATAACTTAAATTATAAATTTTTTTCTTAATTAAATTATATATTTTAAAATATTATCACAGTATCTTTAACATTATAGATAAAAGTACTTGCTGTGTAGAGCTGCACACAGTCATGCTGGTAATAGAATTTCAATCTTATTCGACTGTTTAGTGGCATAAACGAGGGGGAAGTTAGGAATCAGAAGTGAATTGATTGGGAATATTCTCGAGAGATGGTTCAAAATTTATTTTACCTAGTTGGTATAAGTTATTTACCATAAGTTAGTTTTAATATTTTATATTTAAAGTTATTTGAAATTTATTTTACTGGTTGTTTATTGTAATATATCTTTGAATAACTATATCAATTTGCTCAATAATACAATTATTTTTAGTAAATTAAAAATAATAAAAGTAAATAAAGAAAACTAACAAAATACATACTACTTAACGAGTTAAGTTTGATTGACAAATTAAAATAAATTAATATGTTGAAATAAATAATATGTATCATTTTCTCCCTTTTCTTAAAAGTATTTTTTAAATCTTTTACTATCAAAATAAAAACTATCAATATATATTACATACAATTTTTTTTATAAATAAAAATGATAAAAACATGCATACTATGGCAATAGCCTAGTGTTGTATATATAATCTGACAATAGATTCGAGTTTGAATCCCATTCCCCAATACTAGTGTTTTGAGAACCAAACTGGTTATTAAACCGATTAACATATGAGTTTATTGAACTAGCAGTGTTCAACCGAATTTTTATATATAATATTTTTAAATATATTTAATAAATACAATTAAAAATATATTTTGATATCAAACAAAAAAACAGTGTTAAATTTGGCTTTTACACAGAGAATAAAAAAGATTAGTAAATAATTTTAAACAAAAAGAATAAAAAAATTAAACAAATTAAGAATTTAGGCTTAGAAATAAAGAGGCCTGGGATTTAAAAAAGAAGTAGGCCCAATTTTTAAGATGTCTAGATTTTAGAGGCTAATATTTTGAGAATAGCAGAATTTGAATCAACCCATATTAATTACCAGTTCATTAGTTTTTAATCTTTAAGCTGTTTATTTTATTACCCAATCTGAATCAAACTATAGTCCGATTTCTAGTAAAATCGGTCGAACTGGCGGTCCGATTTCAGAACAATGAAAAAAACATTATTTTAAGAATAATATTTAACAGAATCAAATTTAATTCAATAAATAGGGTGCTATCTTACAAATTAACTAATTCCATCGAGTAAAAAATGATTATTTTTATGGAGAACAAGGAGGCAACTAATGTAGAGATTAGTTGAATATTGCATGGCATGTTTGATGTATTTTTATTTTATTAATTAGGTTTTAAGAGTTTAAATTAGTAACTTATAATTTTAAAGATATTAAAAAAAGGTTTTTTTTTTAAACAAAATGTTATTATTTATTTTTTTAATAGTCTATGGTTAGAAATACACTAGTTTGAACCAAACACTCTTTATGATTGATTTAATATATAAGTGAGTTCATACAACATGTGTAGATAAGTTTTTCCGAATTTATTTAGTTGATTCATTGAAAATAAATTAAAAATTAAAGTTAACTTTATACTCTTAGGCCATGTTTGGTATGGTGTAATCAACTATGTAATGAAATGGAAATTACATTACATGATTCATTACATTCTTTAGTTAGACTTTTTTTAATAATAAAATAAAATTGAGATTACATAAATAATTTTCATTGCTTAAATTGTCAAAAAACGCATGCATTAGTCATTACATCAAGCACACCTAATATCAATTATATCAAGTCATTGGATCTGAGGTGGAAAGTAGAAACTATACATGTCCCCTACTTAGTCTTAAGGACCGAACACCACTCCGATATCAAAAAAAAAAAAAAAAAAAAAACATGTCCCCTACTTAGTCCTTAAAGGACCGAAACACACTCGATACTCAAAAAAAAAAAAAAAAAAAAAAAAAAAAAAATCATATTAAGTCACTAACTCTAACACTACCACAATCCCACCACCACCGCTCAACCATCGCATCATTCCTCCACCACCACACCATTAACACTACCATTCCACCACCACCACCACTATCACTGCTTCACCACCACACTGATGATTGTGGTGGTGGTGATAGTGGTAAAGTTGTGGTTGTGGTAACGGTGGAGGTGGAATGGTCGCAGTAGTAGTGGTGTACTAATTAAATTACATATTTACAAATAAATATAAAAAACAAATAGTGATTACATTTCATAAATTTTCTCAATTATATTACTAAATATAATAATGAAATTTTGATTACATTCCATTATATTATATTTTTTTATCGCATTACATCTTTGATTATATCGTATTACATCCGACCAAATATACTAATTAAATTACATCCAACCAAATATACTAATTAAATTACATATTTACAAATAAATATAAAAAAGGAATGGTGATTACATTTCATAAATTTTCTACACTTTCATAAATTTTCTATTATATTACTTAAATAAATAAAATTTTGATTACAATTCCATTATATATATTATTTTATACATTTACATCTTTGATTATATCGTCATTACATCTGACCAATATCTTAATCTAATCATAAATTCATTCTCCAACCAAAATTATTACTAAGTTAAATTACTATTCTACAAAAAAGTATAAAAAAAGCGAATGGTGATTATCTTATCATTAATAATTTTCTCAATTATTTGACGTAATATAACTAATGGAATATGTTGATTAATATTCCATTATATCTCTATTTTTCATTGCATTAATCTTTGTTAATAATCGTATTACATCCAACAAATATACTAATTAATTACAATCCAACAATATACTAATTAAATACAATGTTTAACAACAATAAATATAAAAAAGGAACTGGTGATTACATTTCGATAAATTTTCTTCAATTTATATTTAACCAAAATATAACTAATGGAAAATTTTTTAGATTGCATAATTCATTTAATTTATATTTTTTATTGGCTACAAACTTTTTGATAATAAATCGTATTACATCCACAAATATGCCTAATATCTAATTACATCCAAACCAAATATACTCACATTAAATTAACATATTTACAATACATCTTTGATTATATCGTATTACATCCAACCAAATATACTAATTAAATTACATCCAACCAAATATACTAATTAAATTACATATTTACAAATAAATATAAAAAAGGAATGGTGGTTACATTTCATAAATTTTCTCAATTATATTACCAAATATAATAATGGAATTTTGATTACATTCCATTATATTATGTTTTTTATTGCATTACATATTTGATTATATCGTATTCCATCCAATCAAATATAGCATAGCATTAATTGTTATGTTAATCTATCAATTCCTCTAATTTGAACAATTGTTATGTTAAGAATTAAAGTTACTTTATACTCTTAATTGTTATATTAACCTATCAATTTCTTTAACGTAATTGAACCACATGCTAGATTAGATCCTATATTGGAAAGCCATGCATGTACTAGAAGAGTCTATATATATATAAGGATATTGCTAGTTAATTAGAAATCAAGTGGTTCTTGCAAAATGTCTAATAATTACTCTTTCTGGGTCGCTCTTTTTTGTCTTGTTGTATTGGTTTCTAAGGATGTCGAGGGTGGTGATCCTGGTGGACCGATTCCTGCAAAGGACGCAGATAAAATTCAGTTTGCTCTGAACTTGGAATTCTTCGAAGCAGAATTCTTCTGCAATGGTGCAACTGGTCGTGGCCTTGATGGTATAGCCCCAGGATTCGCAAAAGGTGGTCCTCCTCCCATCGGAGCGCAGAGGGCCAACCTTGATAATCTCACTCGTCAAATATTTGAAGAATTTTGTTACCAGGAAGTTGGTCACCTCAGGTTCTCAAATGAATTATTAATTAGTCCTTTTTTTATTTTATCGACTACGGATAACCTCAATCCACTAGCTTAAAACTCAATCTTACTGGCGTCGGTATGGTCCGGTGAGTATTTGTTCCATACGAGATTGTTCCATCTAACAATGGCAATATTTTTCTTTTCAGGGCAATTATAACCGCGTATGGTGGATTTCCAAGGCCTTTATATGATCTCAGCAATCAAAGTTTTGCTACAGTATTTGACAAAGCTGTTGGTTACAAATTGATCCCACCATTCGACCCTTATGCGAGCTCAGTCCAATATCTCTTAGCGTCCTACGTTATCCCTTATGTAGGACTCGTAGGATATGTTGGCACCATTCCAGAACTAGCCGACTCCAATGCCAGAAGAGTAAGATCATCTCTTACATATCATAATTATTTTTAATTAGCTTGTATAACTATTCTGATATCACCCACTATTTAATTTTCTTATTCTCTTTTAAATTAGCTTGTATCGGGTTTATTGGCCGTAGAGGCAGGACAGGACGCAGTGATACGATCCTTGCTTTATGAAATAGCAGACAAGAAAGTAGAGCCTTATAATGTAACAGTTGCAGAATTTACAGATTTAATATCAGGGCTAAGGAACAAGCTTGCTGCGACTGGGAATAAAGATGAAGGTCTAACTGTACCCAAGGAACTTGGAGCTGAGAAAAAGATTGAAAGTAATATATTATCAGCAGATGCAAATTCTGTTTCCTATTCTCGTACTCCAATGGAGATTTTAAGGGTAGTTTATGGAAGTGGTAACGAATCTCAGGCTGGTGGGTTTTTGCCACGTGGTGGAAATGGGAGAATTGCAAGGAGTTTTCTAGACAAAAATATTAATTAATTAATTACATGTATTCTGCTGATACAAGGAATATATATAAATAAAGATTCCCTACGTTTGGATTCCTGTTTATGTTGGTGACGGTGACCCTGCAATGTAAAATCTTAATACTTTAGTCATTTTAAAGGAAATGTTTTTTGCTTGTTATATGAAAATCAATTAGAAGACACAGCCTTTTTTTGGGCTGTTTTTTGAATTAAGGATAATTGCTGTGGAAAATATTTAAAAAAAATGTTTCAGTGAAATAAGTAATATTTCACTTATTTTACACCAAGATCCGCACATTATAGATCTCTTCAATTTAGAGTCAAAATAATGGAGAAACATGAGAATTTTACTTATTTTTTTGAATTACCAAATATCTCAAAATAACTAGGATCATATTTTATTGTTTGAAAATAAATAAGGTATAATAGTCAATGTTCAATATTTCTCTAAAATTCTACCCTTTTGAAACAAAGTGATAGCCTCTAAGATATCAGAAATTATTTTTAGAGAAAGATTAATAATATTTAGAGTTTTATTGCTTCGAGAGCCATTATCTTTTTTAAAAATAATTAATGTTGTATATATAGGGTTCTTTATTGAACCCAAAGTCAATATTTAATTACGAAAGCATAAATGTTTTTAATTAAGATTCTATGTTAAATATTCACATTGGTCCCTCTAATTGTTGGATACTTGTGCATAAATTATCATTAAGTCCATGATAAATATTTATATCTTATCACAAAAAAAAATTTTTGTTATATTATTCTGTTATTTTGTACTTTTTCCATTAAATACAAAAACAAATTAATTAATTTTGACAAAGTATAGGGATAAAATAATTAATGTTAGAAAAATATAAGAATGAAATAGTCAATAAATACAAGGATAAATTAGTTAATTTCGGTAAAATATAAAGATAAAATAGTAATTCATTGATATAAAAAGTACAAAAAAATTGAGTAGGATACAACGGTGCAGCGAAGATAAAAAATAAGAACAAAACAATGTATTTCAAAATACATAGATAATGTTATATATTATGCCAAAGAACAAAATCATAATTAACATTAATTAACATTAACAAAAAGTAACAAAAAATTTTACAATATTTAATTTTAATTGTTACATGCAACTACTCTTACTCCAAATATTAATAATTTTGCGTTTATATAATTTAGATTAGAGAAAAATTTGTATTGTATTTGAATTAATTTTTTTTTATGGTCAATCTTTCTCTAAACGAAAATTAACTTTTTGTTGGCCTGAAATTATAGTAGCTATAGGAATATTTATAATATCAACATCTTAAAATACCTAATACCTAATAAGAATTGTCATTAAAAAAAATCATTAAAAAATATGTGTTGGCCATATATATATATATTTTTCTGCGAATCACAAATTTGTTGTTGTATTAACCTAATATATATTCCTAATATAACCAAAAGTTTTCTATCTTCTGCGAATCACAAATTTGTTGTTGTATTAACCTAATATATATTCCTAATATAACCAAAAGTTTTCTATCTTGTAGAGCATAAAACTAAAATAAGACAAAAAAAAAAAAAAAATCAAATGTCCTTAATTATTTAATCACTCAAGGTTCAATACTTATTAGCCAAGAGTTGAATTTAGTTAGTAAATGGATAAATTTTCAATCTTATTAATTTGAGTTCGATCTATTAATATTTGGATTAGATTATCAATGAGGATTCAAACTTTATACAATATAAAAAAAAATTGACTCATAATAACATTTTACCATTAAAACAAAAAAAAAAAAAAAACCCACAAAAACCCCCAGCATATGTATCATATGTATAATGTTCTTAGATAGATTAAATTTTAGGTTTTGAAAACTCTATAAAAAATATTAATATTTGGTCTTAATTCATAGTAATTATCAACCTTTACCAATCTTCTATCCTAATCACAAGGCCTATAGACTACGTTTCACAAGAAAATGTGTAAATGAAATATCGACCTTAATCATATTAAATTTTAATATAGCCACTTAATTCATAATGTTGCCAACCAATTACAATCTTAACTAACACAGAAATTCAACACCTAAAATTTTCTAATCTTCAATGCAATGCTTAATATCCTTTTTGCAACTACCAAACATTCTCAATAATACCAGCTTTTTTTCATATATTATAACAATACTAAAGGTTGAATAGTTTTTAAGTTTTACTTATATATTATATAACTTTTTCTTTTCCATTTTCTAATTTGTTCAATGCAGTTTTTTTATGTTTAAGTTCATATCAGTTCTATATTAATGAGTGTACATTTAATAACTAATAAAGCTTATAGGTAGAATCAATTTAATGAGTGGTGTTTGAAAATTTTTGATTGTTTTTTTGGAAGTTACTTTATGTTGATTTTGTTGATTTTTTATTTGAGTGGAATCCATGAAATGATATTTCTGAAGTTTGGAGGCCGTAGTAAGTGGCCATGTTTTTGAACTTTTTGAGAGATGTTGTAGATTATATAAAAATGTTATGTGAGTGTGTTTTGATTGAGATTGATTAATCGTTTATCCCGGAATGCTGCCCGTTGAATTTTTTTAAAATTGAATAATGGAAGGAATTAACTTACTATAATTATGTAAGTTTCGACATAATATAATATAACGTTTACCTTTAGTTTAGAATTACCTTACTAGTAAGGTGCTACATATCATATAAGTCAGTCATACCTTATTATAGAACATAATTTTAGTAATTTTAGAAGTATAAATGCGAGACATTAGTTTGGTCTGTTATAAAGGATGATTTTTAGGACAATGAATTATGACTAAGTTGCCCTTTATAAAACAGAGGTGTTCTATCTGTAATAAAATGCGACTAATGAGATGGATTGCTACCTACAAGGTCGATATTTGAAGAAAAAGAATCCTTGCAAGGATTGGAATCTTTTTATAATGAGTTTGCAGATGTTAGTCATCTCCCAGTTGTATGATATGATAAACTAAGTTGAAGCAGTGCTCCATATAATGTACTAAAAAGTGTCAATACAAAGAGCCTTTCTGAGATATCGAAATAAATAAAATCTTTATTTATGCACCAACATGGGGTTTTCATTGAAATTATTTAACGAATGGTGATGCATCAATGGTCACCGTGGGTTTTACCCAGTGGGCTTAGGCCACTTTATTTTTCTGTAAAGCGACGTTCTCAGAAGTCCAGCTGGCTTTGCAATTTCCAGTTAATGGTAATCGGGGATGCACATGGTATATGGTATCGATGTGCGGCTATAGAGCAGTAAATTCTCTCATTTGTAGATGCGAGAGGATCGACAAAAGCTGCAATTGCATCAAGTTAAATTTTGCCTATTTTTCAGGAGAAATCATAACAGTACATGCTCTGCGAAGCGTGGTTGTTGTCTTCTTAGGGACTGATTCTGAAAGTTGAGTCCCATAGAATTAGATGAAGTTAGGTCTTTATTTACTTACGGCCTGCCGTATTGGCGGCAAAAGAGAGGAAAGTACATAGTATTGGCAATCTTATTTACGGGTCTCAGACACACAAGTTTTTAAACCTGCGGCCTCCATGCATCTGATGATTCTGCAGCCTACCTCATAGACCAAAGCCCGATACAGCAGTGCCTTTAGAGGAAGATTTAGTGAGTAGAGCTCGATGTATGATAAGCAACGAGATAGATCAGTCTTATGTCGGCAGAGCTTAGAGCACATGTCGGGATCCATACGGTTTAGTCATCTGGCTAACTCTCTTCCACTCTATCTCCGGGCCTGCTTACCAGATACGACCCCATGTTCTTTACCTTTGATCCTCCACCTTAGCAAAGCTTCCTAGTCTCTCTCGACCACAGCCCGACCACAGTGCCGAGGAGATTAGTGCATTATGAGCTCGTGTTGATAAGCAACGAGAGACAGCTTGCAGAGCTTAGAGCACATGTCACGCGGATATACGGTTAGCATTGGTACTTCTTCCTCTAATCCTCCGCCTGCTACAGATCGACATGTTTCTTCCTTTGATCCTCCACCTTGCAGAGCTTATAGTCTCCTTTTGATCCCGATATTGCAGACGATACCTTGGTCACTCCTACCGATACTACGACACATCTAGTAGATACTCCTGCCGACGTTACGACACTGGATCGTGCAGAGGACCGACCTCGTAGATTTGATTTCAAACCTTTTTAGCTTTCCGTGATTTTTTCATATTTGTATAGTATATTACATTTACAATTCCATTCTTACATTGTTATTGTGTTGTGATCTTAATGATGATGCTTGTGATTGTGATGTATATATATGTCGATTTTTGACAGGTGGAAAAAATTATGGTTTTTAATATTGTTAAATTTTTTTTTTGCCTGTAATTATATTTTACAACCGACTGGTTACCGAAATGCAACCAAATTATAACCGTTAAATTTAAATTTGTGACAGATCACCAACCAATTACTTTCAGAATTTGTGATTGATTTGTGACCGCTTTTCGTAATTGCGACTGACACTTTTGCAACCAATTTGCGACAAGCTTCCAAAAGGAAAACACAACGAAAATTAATGATTGATATTTATAATTTTGAATCAGTTGCTAATTTACGATCGCTTAGTCATTCGGTTGCAAAATTATTTGTGACGAGCACTTTTGCGACCGGTTCATGTTTGTTGCAAATCGGTCGTTACGTCCATTTAGTGACCGATTTCTTATATTTTATTGGTTGTAATTTAGCGATTTTTTTATAGTGACAGTCGATAAATGATTGCCAAAGTATTTGTTGGTTGCTTTGAATATGTTGATATTTATATACGTGCAGTTTGGGAAAGCTTTGGATCTGTTTCTTCAACTTGAAAGATCTGGTTCAACTTGAATCAGTTTGTTCACAATAGTTTGGACTTGGATCAGTTTAGCAATCCATTATGTTTAAATTTAGCAAGCAGGTCCATAACCTTATCAAATTTTAGTAAATCTGAGGTTAATTTATGGAGTTGGAGGATGGCCTAATTTCACAACTCTTAGCACATTAATTTGTAGACCAAGATCGTTACTGTTGGTATCAGATCTAAATTATGTAATTGATTTTTATCCAACAAATCCACAGGA